ATATGTAAAGAATAAACAGCCTATGATTTATGCCTCCATATCCTCTTGTATTATTTAAAGAACATACATTTTTTTCTTTTAATTCTAGATTTTAAAACATTAAAGTAAGGGAAAGATTGTTTGCTGAATTTAGATTTATATCATCATTACGCATTCACTATAATAACTTACTGCATACTTACCTCAGTGGGTTTGCCATTAAAAGAAATACATTTAAGTAAAATCATGAGTGTATAATAAATTGTTTTTTTTCAGCCAAAAAAAGAGAAGGGGGAAAATAAATACAGTTTGATTCACTTAATTTTTAGTACGCGACTCAACATTGTTATTGTAAACTAGACATTAGCCATACTTTAATAGTTGTCATCTCTCTGTATTTTTAGAACTTCGAAATTAGAATGTCAATTTTATCTGCCATTGTTATGGAGCTGTAGGATATCGAATGTTATTTCTTCAATGATAAAAAGAAATGAAATTTTTAATACCACATCTCATTCATATAACTTATTAACATAATTGAAAAACAATTTAATTCATTTCGTGTTATATCTGAAAATTAAAATTTGTAATACATTGACTAAAGATTCTTACAGGTCTTATTCCCATTTTCCTCCAGGAAAAAGATAATTGCCATATTTCCATCCCTCCAGGTCCAGGAAAAGATAATTGCTGTGTAAAATGCATAAATATTTTCACGAGACTTATAATAGTGGTATTAGAATTATTATAATGTTTATGTCATATAATGGATCTGTGAATTTCTTTTAAATAATTTTTATAATCACAAAATTTTATAAAATTAAGAAAGTAGTAAATTTTACAATTAAAATATGAATCCCACACTGCAGAAATACATACAAGAATGAAAACACTGTAATATTTGAAATGCATGATTTATTTTTTTTAAAATTAATAATTATATTTTGATTTTCTATGACAGCAGACTGATTTGCAACTGATTGCTTATACAAGTCACATATTTCACATATTTCACACAGTACATTAATATATTCTTCTGCGTTTCAATTATTTCCTTTTCTGCAGCTGTAATATCATCTCTCTTCCTTTTTTCTCTTCGGTCTCCTGCTTCGAATAGTTGAGCTTCTATCTGAGCAATTTTAAAATATTCATTCAAATTCAAATATTCTTAATTTTTATATTTCATAATGTAAAACACTTTTTATAATTAATTAAACAATGAAACTTCTCTAAAAAGGAACAATTCATAATATTGATTTCTTTAACTTTCAATTTTTTTTTTTTCCCTTTATAATTTTTAAGACTGTTTATAGATCAAGAGGATTTAATGATTATTATTTTAAATTCTTAAAATCTTGTTGTTAATAAAAGACATACTCTGTATATAATGTTCGCAATAAAGAATTGAAATAACTCTTTTGTATGAGAAATATTAATTTACATCTGTTATAATTAATTTATACCAGCGGTTCTCAGCCGGTGGTATGCAAAGAAAAAACAAATATTTTTAACTATGAAATTCAAAAATCTCATAAAGAAAAGAATAGTTAATAGAAATTTCCTTTGATCGAAATTGACTTGAAGATTTGGAAAATGACACACTTGTTAACTTTTGGCTGAACCGAAAAAAAGAATTTAAAGGCATTTCAAATAAAGCTATCAAATTTGTATTGTCTTTTCGCACAACCTGTTTGTGTGAAAAATGATTTTTTCCATGTTAAATTTGAAATATAAATACTCAAATACTCACCAAAATAAAAAGTGGATCCTAATTTACCATTAAATGAAATAAGAGCAGACATAAAGAAATTAAATATTAAAGTATTATAACTGAAATTTTGATAATCAAGTGAATAATTTAATTAAATTTAATTTTGATAATTAAGTAATCATCAGTTTTTAATCTAATAGTTTTTTATGTGTACATATTTAATACAAAGAGTGTGCAAATGGCAATATATATATATATGTTTTTAATATTTCTATTGAGGAATTGAAAAATAATCATTGTAAAATTAGTGGTAGTATTAATGTTTTTCAGTTTTTGCTTAGATGGTACACTACAGTCAAAAGGTTGAAAACCGCTGATTTATACCATTAAAGTTTTTCTGTTGGGAGGAAAAGGAAAAGAAGAATCCAGAAAACATTAGATTTTATGTAATAGATACAAACTTGTCATTCCTAAATGCCATTGCAGATTTCCTCGTGATAAAGGTGTGGAATTTTCTAATGTAAAAAAGAAAAAAGCATAAAATAAGCACAATTTACTCAACAATCTTGACTGAAATATACATGCTTTCAGAGATAGCATAAAGCAAGAAAAGTTTACTCAACAATCTTGATTGAAATATACATGCTTTCAGAAATAATATACAAAGCATACTGCATAATCAAAGTTATGAGTTTATATACTATGAGATACTATACATGTTTATAATATACCACGTTCCTGTACACCTAACACCTCGTCCACAATTTTCTATACAATTCATTAAAGATAGTTCCTGAAACATAACTGACTTAAGAGAAACATGCATACTTCTAATTTATGCATAATAATTTGACAAACATTGATTTCAGGTAAAGAGCTACATGTATTACATCAAAGAAAGAATGAATAAGTGTAATTTGCCTTTATCCTACAAATACTTAAAAACATTTACATTAAAAAAAAATGAATTATACATAATGGTAGCAAATTTTTAATGAAAAACAAAACAAGAGTTGAAAACTTAATGCAGTTTTTGTCAATATTTTACTCTCTTAAAATTTATATAAATGTATAGAAACTTGAAATGCATACCGCATTTGGCTGGAAAACTTGTGGTATTGTGCTGCACTCTAGGGAAAGGGAAAAAGTATACAATGAAGCAATCATAAGAATAAAAGATATTTGCATATTATTGAAACCACCTTAATAAAAGTTACCAAATTTTCAAAAATGTGCCAAACTCTGGCAACGATTATGTATCAAAATTTTTCAGGTAACATGCTCATGACAATTTTTCATTCAAGCAATGTCACCATTTTCATATGTGTTTTTCTTATGTTGTATTTCAAGTTCCAATGGATTTTAGATACGAATAGTTGTTTTAGATTAATTTCAGATTTAAAATACTGCTTGTGGAGCTTACCATCAAAAGACGAAGCTGTGTTAAAAGTTCTGCAGGAATAGAACATTTTAGTACAAAAATTTCTAATGGAAACAACTATGAGATGAATTTGGTACATAGACAAGGCATGCAGTATCAAGTTTATGTAATTCTCTGATTTTTTTTTTTTTTTTTTAAGTGAAAACAGATCACTTGGCACAAGTGCTAAAAAATTAGACAAAAAATTTGTGGAAAATGTATTTTTTTTTTAAACTATCATATAATTTTTATTTAATAATTCAAATTAGTATTTTAAAATTTGTTAAATGTTTTTTTTCCTTTGATATGTTGATAACATTTTGCCAACTTAGATAAATATTGATAGTTTGGTTATGCTAAAAGCAAGCTGCAAAAACAACGTACTTCTCCTGATAAGTATTTTTCTCTTTTCATTTATAAAGACCACCAAACTGATCCAGGTGTTTGTGTTATTAATACGTAAGTACCAAAAAATATTGAAGAATGCACAATGAAAGATGGCAACCAGTATGGTAAAAGATATAATTAATATATGCAATGAAAGAAATCTTATTAAAAGACGACTTTCATTATCAGCAGAGAAGCATAACACAGTTACAGTAAAGAAATCAAGCTTTTGTTTCTGCACTTGTAGCTTTTAATAGCCAAAAATTGTTTTTTTGAAATTTTATGAAATAAATAAATCTGAACATAACTGATATCAAATGAGAATGGGTCCAAACTTTCACTTAAGAAGCAGAAAGTGTACTGTAAATGCACAATATAATGAGCAGAACACAAAGCATAATTTATAAATTAACCTTTACTCTGGATGTATATATTACATTAATATCACATTAGAATTATCAGGGTTTCATATAATTTTTTATTTATTGTATTACATTGAAATACCTTTAATTTCATTTTTTTATATTTTCCCAACGATGTACAATATAAATCTAAAAATTGCTCTTAACTGTTTCATCACATAATGAATGTCTAAGGGAAGGAATGCCTGCGTGGAAGACTAAGGAAAACTTAGTATTCATGTTATACATTGAAAAAATGAAGAAAACACTCATGCAGCCAGCTTTTTCACCTGGATTTAAAGAGAGACTGGGATAGCGGTGTTCAGCAGGCTTATCTGCTTGTAGATAGATGGGCTTATTAATTACTATATAATTCAAGAACTAGTTAATTTTCATATGGTAAACATGCCTACTGTCACTGAAGAATCATGCATCTGCATTAAACAATAAAAATATAACACAAATTTGAATTTTAAATTAAACTTACTATTAGAAGAATTAAAACCAAATGCTGTAATTTGAAAATGGGAAAAAAATGTGGTTTATATTTGAAAAAGCAAGGATTTTTGTCTGAAAAGTAAAATATATTTTACACACACCTGTTGCTCTAGATTACTTTGGAGGGAATTTTCTATAGGATAAAGTAAATAAAGTTGTACACATTAAATACATGTTGTACACTTTCGTTTTCAGGACTGGAACAATTCGTTACACCACACTACAACGCAGTAAACACTTGACCATAAGCTCAGAGAAATCATGGGAACTGATGTTTTTTGTTTACATCGACACGCAGTCTCATTGGATATTGATGTAGTTTATCGGACAAGCTCTCCTGGCACGAGAGCAAACCAGCTCCCCATTGCAATTTTGACGTCATCAGTTACCAGAGCGGTAAAGCGTTGCACTTGAATTCGACTTTAGCAGACGATAGCAGGAACGCCTCTTGCGAGCTAACATTTGCAATTTATCAGAGCGTTGCACTTGAATTCGCCTAAGATTCATTTCGGATCACTCCTCTTAAGTCCAGTGCTCAATTTTTGTAAGTGCATTTTCGTAATTTATTTCTCAGTAACAATCCGTTAGGAAACCAATATTTATTTTAGTCACAGGTAATCTTTCAGCAGTTCAGGTGCATTTTATTTCAGAATCTATAACCGAGCTAGGTACACAACGAATATACCTCGGAAGAACCGCGAAAGAAATGTGAGCAACCAGTTCAAACCGGTTGCGAAAGGTGAGATTGTACTGAGAGTGTGATTGTAAATTCGAGCGTGGTTTTTTTGTTTAATGTTTGTATGAAGATATTTTGAGTATTAAGATTTTTTTATTTTGTGTGATAATAAGTGTTTCGCATTCAAATTCAGTAAGTATTTTGATCTTATTAGTAGTTTGCGTTTTCAAGAAAGTTCTTTGTGTGCTTTCTGTTAATGCGTACAGACTTGTTTCATTCTATTTTGCCATGCTTAGGCATGTGTTTTAATTAATATAGGCAACATAAGTAAATGATTTCTTTAATTACTCTTTTGTAAATAAGTTTTTGTTAGTTTAAAGAGTATGTTTGTGAAATTTTCGATTTGTGTATATAAAAGCGTGTCGGTGGATCTTAATTTACCGATATTGATGTTTTCGGTGTAGTGCTGAGGAATTGTAATAATCATTTTATATTTTGAATATTTATTTAATCTACCCGTAGTTTACAATTATTTTACGTATTAAATTTGAGATTTTGGCATGTAAGTTTGGATAACGTCGCATTTTATTCGAATGAACTTCGCTTGAGTAGAAGAATGTTTACCATTTGTAATGGATGGTGTAGGTATAAGTAACACTTCAAAACTCTAAAGGGTGGCTGAATTTAGACGTTTATTCAAATCAGTTTTTTGAGTAAAACTTTAGCGTTGTCCTTTATTACTGTTTTGATGATGGAATTGTCAAATTGTGGCCTTAAAATTGTTTTGTTTTAATATTTTGAGGGAGAGAAGCTTTATTCTTGCTATGAAACTTTTTTCGCCTTTCTTTTGAATTTTATTTACGTTTTAGCAGCATAATTAAATGTAATTAAAAGATAAATTACTATTCTTAAACATAAAAATAAATATGATTGAGGCTTCTGAAGTTAAAGCAATTAATAATCTGTGTTAGTGTTAAACCAAATAGGGTTAATTAAGTGGAACCTACTCATGTTATAATGTAATAAAGCACCTACAAATGTGTAATAAGGAAGCATAAATGTAGAATTGAATTCAGTTCTTGATTCTGTAGTTTACAAGACTCATTAATTTTCAGGTGAGTGACTCATATCCTTAGAAGTCTTTCACCTAATTTACTGTGCTGCTCTTAGCTGTCCTTACTTGGCAACCTTTTTCAGTGCCATCATATCTTGTTTCTGTCTGTAGTTCTCTGTTATGTGTAATGTTATTGGTGTAAAAATGGCTAAACGTCTGATGGATTCGACCATTCATTATAAATGCTTTTGATAGGTGGAATTAAATTTAGAAGATGCAGTTTTCGCTAAAGTCAAAGCGGTTTAAATGTTTACATATTATGGCATCATTGTTTCATATAAAATGAGTTTCTTTTCAATATTGATAACATAAGCTCTTTTTGATGCTGATTGCGGTATTTCATGGTTAAAATGTTAACAAACAGTTCTCGAAAAAAAAAAAAAATGCTTGTTTGTAGTCTTATTTAGTTTTGAAATAGTTATTTCATTTTGGTGCTTACATACTATTTGCTAACTGTATCAAATGATAATAATTTGCCAATAAGTATGGTATTTTGCTTTCTAGAATTTCAATAGTACATTATCTCCAATTTCTAGGATAGTCCTTTTTCATGACTGGTTTGAAAATTCATTCGGTAAAAGTATAGTTTATAGTCCCTTGGCGATTTTTGGCAGTAAATGGATACTGAGTTTGTGCAATTCTTTGACTCGTTATTTTGGCTTGCGAAGCAGTGATTTTTGCGCAAAAAATCGCCTCTACACAAAGGCAAAATAACAAGACAAACAATTGCACAAACTCGGTATCCATGTACACATCGACCTATTTTCACTTGAAAAAAAAATCCCCGAATTGTACAAAAATGGCATTGCGCACTCCTTTGACTTTATCCATGTACACGTCGACCTATTTTCACTTGAAAAAAAAATCCCAGAATTTCACAAACTTGCATTGCGCATACCCTTTACAGTGTCCATGTACACATCGATGTATTTTCACTTAAAAAGTCAAAGGAGCACCCAATTCTACAATATAGGCAAACAAAAAATACATAATCTCAATAAAATACATTTTAAACCAAACAATAAAATAACATAAAAAAGGAAAAACATGTTATACATTTAAGCACTACCAAAAGCAAATATTCACTTATCCTATTTAGTCTTCGTCTTTAGTCTGTGGCACAAAAAATTCTTTAACAGCATCCAAAAACGTCTTAAAATTATCAGAACTTGAATCCGTATATTGGCGTCGCCACATAAATTCATAAAAATAAGAGTAAAAAATATCCTGCGTAGTTCCTGACTGTCGATGACACTTTTTTCGAAAATCTCTCTTCACCACCCTTCCGTCTTGATGATCTTCGAGTTCGCTTCGTACACCCAGAGCCATGTAAAAATCAAAATATCAATCAAACTCAAATGACGTTTTTTCAAACCAGGTACCGTTTCTGATTGAATGCTTCACTTAGTGACCATCTGAACCTTTCTTCCTACAAATCCATCTAAACGGTTTTTAAGTTCGACTAGATGTATATCCTTCCTACATACAGGACACTTATAATGGCTACTAAGTAAACCTTCATTTACACATCATTCAGTTAACACTTTTTTCCTCTGTCACTCCAAATCGTACAGAAACTTCAAATTAATTTTACTACATTCGGCCATTCTACTGTCTAAACAATCAAACCAACTCACACCACAAAAACGCTTACGAAACATCGCATGATTCAAAATTTCCCAGAATCATGCGCCCGATTACGTCACAATAGGGTTTCCATAACATTCAACTACTCGGGCTACCATAAATGAAATAACTTCGCCACAATACAAAGGGTACCTTAAAGTCTACTCTAACCAATTCATTCATTAAAGAAGTCCAGTGATGCTTAAGAAAGCAAAACCTAAGCTTTAAAGTTTGCCTTATTGTCAATAATGCCCTAGAATATGGTGCTGAAGCCCCCAGAACATTGGATCCAAATGTAAAGGTTTCATTTCTTCCACTGAAAATTATTTTCTTAAATCAACTAATGGATCAAAGATTCATAAAAACATTAAAAGCCCATTATGTCAGGCATGTTTACATGTCTGCAAATAAAGCACTAGGTAAAGGACAGCATACACTAATGGCATTTTGGATGCAATTCAACATAAGACATTTCATAGAAGTGATTAAACTCGCATGGGAACAAGTGAATTCATCAACAAACAATGCTGTCTGGCCAAAAGTTGTCAATTGAAGCCAAAGATTGCAAAACTAACAGATATTGCAGAAGAAGAAATTACAGAATTAGTCAAGAATGATAATAATAAAATGACAAATGAAGAACTGGATGATCGTATAACAGTAGTAGACAGTGAAAGCAGTTGATAGTGAAAAAGATGGTCTTTCCCGTACAAGAAGTTAAATGAATTCTTAAAAAATGCCCCAGAAACATCTGATTTTGTAATAGATATTAACCCTCTCACTGCGTACTTTTTTTTAATCAAAATGTGTTCAAAAATTACATATTTCAAAACTACATATATTTTAGAGTTAAAATATACAAACATTTTTTGTAATAGAGTTTTTGTTCAATATAGAATTAGATCATAGAAAAAGGTTTGTCAGAATACTGAAATTTAAGATTAATTATATAAAAGGAAAATTTTGAAAAATAATGGTTAAATTATGATTTATTTTATAAAGTACAAAGGTAAAACATATATACTAATGGAAGTATTTGCATAATGTAATATTTTAATATGAATTTTGCAAAAATCAAAATTTATCTATGAAAGCCATTGGAACTTGCAATACAGCAAAAAGAATGCATATAAAAATAGCAGTACTGGAAACTGAATATTTATTATGTGCCTGGTTGCCTAAATAATTGTCTTGCACGTGATTAACACAGTTGACGACTTTGAGTCGGGTGGTTGCGATAATTCGCAAGTTCTGGATTTTTTATCGCTACTCAATGTTGTAAGCAGTAAAATTCTGAAATTTTTAGTTTGTCCATAAAGTGAAAAAAATCAACAAAAAATTGTGTCGACCTGTTCCGAAAAAGAATATTTATTTTAAAGAATTTTTTTAAGGAATATATATAAATTTAATTCGACTGTACTTGGAGGACTGGGTTTTAATAAATATAATTTATTTATGTTTTTTTTTCCCCCTCTAGGTATTGTGCAAGTTATCATCATCTGATATATTCGTCTTCATTTAGCTCAATACTGAGCTGTGGAAAAGGGTAAATTTTATGTTTTAAAAGATGCAAAATGAAATTTCTCTAGTATGAAAAATTGAATTGTACATTTATTTAAATATATGCCAATTTTATCAGTTCTATTGCCATATGCCTGTAAAATTGCTGATTCTTTGCTCTGCCTGCTGAATTCCTTTTTTTCAGTATTGAGCAGTTTCTGATTTTATTTGTAAATGAAAATTTTGTTGTAAACTTCAGTAAGAAAAGCACAGGGAGTTCAGATTTTTTAATTAAAAAAGTAATGCCCAAATTAATTTAATTATTCATATATTATCAAGTATGTTTTGATAGCTAAAGAAGGAAACATTTTTTACGGTACTGTTCTATTATCAGGACCGGATTCAGAAATGTATTTGTTCATGTATAGATGTAAGTACAAATATGTTTGTGTATACATATACACATATGTGCACAGTGCACATGCTTACGTATACAAGTTCATACCTTCATACATTTCCAAATCCGGTCCTGATAACGGAACGCTACTTTTTAAACTTTTTTTTTTTTCTTTGGTACCGCTGGTGTTATTATTCTTGAAGTCTCTCCCCCCTTTTTTTGTGTGTATCATTTTTATGTTTAAATCAGTTTTCAAATTGATGTCACCAAATTTTATTGCCATATATTATTAAAGAATGATATAGCAACTATAAAAACATGTATGGCAACACGGATAAAAAAGATATTGCCACTCAGTGTTATCATTGTGAAGTTTTTTTTTTAAAGAAATACAGTCAAAAGTCGTTAATTCGGACACCCATAATCCAGACCTCAAAGCTACAAACTTTCTGCGCATGCGCATAGGCGTGTACGCAAGCGCGTAAGACTTTTACGGCTGAACATATGCGTGTGCACATGCGCATAATACTTTTACGCATGCGTGTTTAATGTATAATGGGCGGTATAAGCTAAAATTATCTAATTATCTATTTCAGTTAATGTTTCAGATTGCGTTATTCCTTAATCTTCGAATTAGATCAAGCTTATTATTTTTTGCAGACTGTAAGAGCAATTTTATAAAAGTAAGCTTGAACTTTCGATTATGTCAAATAGAATTTCCGATCCTGGAGCTCCCAAAGGATCTACAAAGCGAAAGTATGTTTCGATGTCCATCAAACAAAAAGTGGAATTGCTGCAAAAAATGGATAAAGGCATATCCTTTGTTTCTCTAACCATTCTGAAATCTGTTTATCAATTTCAAGCTGCTGTGTGTGGGGGGGGGGACATCACGGCACGCAATGAATTGGAAGTTGATCTGTCAGCACTATCCTTATCTTCAGAGCAGATGTTTTTATTTTATTTGGCTTATAATATAATTCCTTACTAAATGTAGTATCAAAGACGAAGTACATCTCGATGTACTTCGTCTTTGATATGATTTAAATCAAATTCTTTGTCATTTTAATTCGCTTCCGATAGTGAAGAAAGTGACACAGAGGTTATTAAAAAAGAAAAAATTTTGATTGACGAATTAGTCGGTATTCTCGACACAGCAATTATAGGACTTAAACAGTGGAACTTTGTAACTGAACAAGAAATTATGTCTGTTTATAGAATTAAAGCGAAAGTATTATCACTTAAACGAAGCAACTTAAACAACTTACATTGAAAGAAATATTTAATAAAGTAAACAAATAAATATTAAGCTCTTTTTTTTTTTTTTTTTTTTTTTTTTTTTTTTTTTGTAAATTTTGATACCTTTTGGATCATAATTGTTCTTTATTTCATGAATTACGGTTTCATATTTTTAATTTTATAATTTCTGCATGCCATCTTACCAGATTTAAGCTGATGATCTGTAATCCGGAATCGTCGAAGTCCCGACGAGTCCGGATTAACGACTTTTGACTGTATAGCAAATATAAAAAAGTGTACACAACACTTAGCACTCCATTGAGGATTTTAAAGATGTGCTGTTTTTTTTAATATTTTGTGGTTTCACTATTAAATTTTGAAAAAAATTATGTATAATGAATAAAGTTAAGACTAAAAGTTAATAACGAAAAGCCAGAGAAAAAAGTTGTGTGTGTCTTCTTGTTAAGAAAATGAGCACTGATATGATAAACTGTGATAAGACTGAAAAAATAATATATATATATTTATATAACATCACATAAAACAAATCCAATATATTGGGAACCTTAAAAATAAGCCTGCTGTTAAAAATATTGTGATTTTATTATTGGATGAAAAATCCAGTTTTTCCTCTGTTGAAAAATCTGAACTTTACACATAGTAGCGGATCTAGTCGATGCATGGAACTAACTACGCTAGCTCAGTGTAATATGTATACTCAGATGTATGTATATGTAACAGATTCAAGAAGCAAGTTTCTAAAATTTCTTTGTATTTGAAATATTGCTTGTTGTTTTCTTTAAATATGTGTTTGTATTAAGAGTGGTTAATATTTTTAGCTTTAATTTATGGGAATTATAGTGTCTTTATCTTATTTTTAGGAACTTGTATGTGTGTTTCATGATTTTCTCATTTTAATTAGCCAATTCTTTCCATTAGGTGGCTGATTTTTTAAGGTAACACTATATGACATCTGTCAGAGTGGATGGGATGAAGCAACCTGTTGCATTTGGGAGCCCAGGTATGAATTTAAAATTGCTCATAAAATAAATTTGCTGAGTGTATATTTATAATATAGATTGCAGTGATATATTTATAACTTCGGCTAATCTTTGGAATATGGTAACAGGAGTTTGGCGACATTTTGGTAAGGCGATAAAGGTTACAGGGTTCTTAGCTGTCCTTATAAGTCCTTATATTTGAAAATAAAATACAAAGGCTCTTATAAGTGCTTACTTTTTCTTTAAAGCCCTTATTTTTTTTTTTTTTTTTCAATGAACGCGCTTTTTTCCCCGAAACTAAATAAACGACTTTTCTTCCTAATATGGAATGTCAGATGGTGAGTCATACTCCCGGAAATAGCTTTTCCCCCTTTCTCTGCATTAACACAACCTTTGGTGTGCACGAAGAGTACAGACAGGTGCCCGTCGTTCTATTAGTCAAAGAATTGCGAAAGCAGTAGAAAATTCCGCTACATTCGGCATTCTTTTCCTCCCACCCAAATACTACATACGTTTGAATTTCTATCAAGATCTTAAAAATTTGCATTCTTGTTCTGCTTTGTCAGTTCATATTCGTGTTTATTATGATCGTTATGCTTATATTATGAGCATGTGTATGAATGTTTATAATAACATAGTTGCAGTAACTGCTGAAGTATAGTAAACTTCCAAAAATGGTTGTGTTTTAACACAGATTAGCTTTCTAAGGGATAATATTCGGAATGGCTTAAATAACGGGAAAGTAATCGAGTAGTCAAAATAATTTCATTTTTTGGCCAATACATTATACAGTACGAAGGTTGAGAGGTCTCTCCTTTCTCCGCAAAATCTTGACTATTGAAACTGTTACAGTTCGCTGCAAAACAAGCAACGGACCCTTTTTTTGTTTGGTCACTTTCCAATCTGGATTGAATAGGACTAAAAGTTCTGCGGTCTACCAACCCAAGCGAAGAATGATTCTATTCCGGAAATTTAACGCCGTCTGTTGAAAATTAGAATGAAAAACACCAGTTATTTAGTTCTTTATTCTCCCAATACCAGCAGTTGTTGATTCCGATTGCGTAATATCATGTAGGGAAGAATTACCGTGCAGTGCACGTATTGTGCAATAACGTTTGCGATATTTTGCAGAGATAATTAATTTTGATGTTCAGTTCGAGATTTGTTTATGAAAAGAGTTTTACCGTGCTTGCTAAGCAGAATATTTTTTAGTTCCGTTGCTTTATTTTTATATAATGCACTTATTGAAATGTTAAAAGCATTTATTTAGCGGAAAAATCTTGAAGAACGGCTACAGTCTATCCCCCCCCCCTCTGCTGCTCTTTTTCAAGTTACGCTCGAATATTCGCCAATTTCCAAGTATGCAGGGTAGTTAAGCTTTTACCTGTTAAAGATGACTGCATGAAACAAATTTCTGTCTTCTGATTTCAGAAATGTTCCTCTTTTTTACTTAAATTACTTTGCTTGCAATATCTGTTAAGAAAAAAACTGATATACAGTGAAAATTTAGAAAATGTTCAGAATTTAGGTTTAAATTATTTAAATATCAATATTAGTGGAAAAATAAATTGTATTTATTATTAGGTTCCAAGCGAATATAATAAATATGACTTAGTATTATTTATCTTCTCTATTTTGAACTGAAATTTCATCATTAAATCTTGTAATATAGTTTAGTTCTTCATAGTTCTTTTTCTCTCATTGTAAACTAGTTTGTAAATTGAACTATTATTTAAAATTAAAAAAAAAAAAAGTAATTATTTTCCATGGTTGAGGTAATGCTTATTCTCTCTTAATAAGTACTTCATTTCTCATATTTTAAATTACAAGTCTAATTTTTAAGGTTATGCAGTTGTGTATGATGTAATTAGACAGGTGCTTATTTTTTTTCTTAAAATGTGCTTGAAAAGTGCTTATAGGTGCTTATTTTTTTTTAACTAAAATGTGGCTATGAACCCTGGGCTACTAAGCTAGGACTTTAGCAGAGTACATGGATAAAGTCAAGAGTGTGCGCAATGCCATTTTTGTGCAATTCTGGGATTTTTTTAAAGTGAAAATAGGTCGACGTGTACTTGGATACCGTGTATATGCAATTCTTAAAAATGCGGCAAGCAGTTTGCGATTCTGCACTTTCTCCGAATTTCGCACCTAATCTTTGTCATGATTAAGCACTTTTGTTCCATAAAAGTTCTAGCATAAGCGTAATTCGGCTAGCAGATTGTTGGAAAAAAGTGTTGAGAAAAAAAAGAAAAGCCTTTACTTCGTGAAAACAAAATGGCTTTCAAACAAAAACTAGCAGGTTGCTGTAGCAGGGTTGGTCGCCGAAAAGTCGCCAATCCAAAGATTAACCATAACTTCTTAACAGAGCTCTTCAAAATTAAAGAATAGCGACAGAAATGAAAACTTGCTTATTGTAAAACAAAAACAATTTCCTAATTATCTGACCCCTTGAAAGTGAACAACTCTGCATATTTTTTGACAAACTGATGTGTGAAAATTCATGAATTCTTAAGTGATATAACAGGGAGATTAATTGAAGGAAACTAATTCCCACATTTATTTTAATTGATGATCATGTTTCAAGTACACTTTCTTGTATTTGAAATCTTGCTTGTGTGAATTGAAGTCTGTAATACTTTAATAAATTATTTACCTTCGAATGGGGTTATTTAATTCTGGGATAACTTAAATGTACACTCACTTCCAAAAGTTAAGCACAAAGATGTAAAATGCAAAAAAATCAACATATACTGCTTTGATTGACACAAAATTCAGCAGGAAAGTAGCATATATATTTATGCATAAAACAAAATCAATAATTACGTACAGAAATGAAAACAGTATTAAATTTTTGTAAGTTATCAGATAATGACGTACTGGAGACTTAAACAGAATTATGTATAAAGTGAAAATGAAAAAAGGACATTAGTAGGGTATGTTATCCCCCCCCCTCATCTGTATACAAAGTTTACACCTTGTGACCATGCTTTCAATTAGGTAGTCAACTACTGCAGAATTAAGCAATCGCCATTCTTCTTGTAGAGCTGTTTCCAGCTCAATAAGAGTGGCTGGAGGTGGGAATCGTGAAGATACAGCACGGCCGAGAGCATCCCAAAGATTTTCAATGGGATTAAGGTCGAGCAAATATGCTGGCCACACCATATGCACAATCCCTTCAGTCTCCAGCTTGTGATCGACAATGTCAGCTCTATGGGGACGTGTGTTATCGTCCATTAAAACAAAAGTAGGGCCAACTGCTGCAGCATACAATCTCACAATTTGTTCTAGGATTTCATCTTGATACCGGACAGCCGTAAAAGAACCTTGTTTAAAGATGTGCAGGTCGGTGCGATATCCTAATGAAATCCAAGCCTACACCGTAATGCTTCTGCCTCGGAATGCATGATGTTTTGGGACTGATTGTGTGTTCGTTGTTTACGCCATATCCTCATACGCTTGTCATCTGGCTCCAGAGCAAATCTTGACTCGTCAGTAAATATGACATTGCCCCAGTCAGACATATTCCATTTGACATGTTCCAGGCACCACTGTAATCGTGCCCCTCTTGATTGGACGGATTGAGGAACACAAATTCAAGGTACCCGGGTGTACAGTCCACTCATATGTAATCTTCAGCGTACAGTAATTGCAGATATTGCCTTACCAATGGACGCTATAACCACAGATGTCACACGTGTGGAGGTGGCACTGCAATTCCGTTTGGCTACAATAGTAATATATCGATCTTCTGTTGGTGTTGTAACCCAAATTCATTGTAACACTTCGTACAAAGCAGCAAGTTGCGCTGTATCTATGTTTTGAGACTCTCAGCAATTACTATTGAGAATGCTGCAGAATCTACTTTTTTTTTTAAACCGACATCATAAATTACTAGTGGCTTCATTAATACACTGCTTAATACACTGACTGAAATATTTTTAAATAATTGATTTTGTGAGGAGAAAGAAGTGCAGTAGATTTAATAAAAACATCAATAAATGATTTAGATTATTTTGCAGTGATGTATGCAAGAGCAAAAATTCCATGAAGTATTGCTTCAGTGAAAAATTTTTGCTACTTTAATGTAAATTATATTTTTTTGGAAATCCTATTCATTCTGATAGTTCCTTATTACAAATAGAACATACTGTTTTATAGTGCACAAGACTACAAAAGCACATAATTTCCAATTTAACTTGAAAACAAATTCTTTTCAGCCCATTTTTTTCTTACTCTTTGTACATGGCCTTCGCAGATTTAATTTTTTAATAAGACATGGTTTGCATGCATCGGTCAATTAAAATTATCATTGTAATACTATTGACGTCTGTAATTCAGCATGAATTTGTGTGTGAAAACAGCTCTAAAAAGTTACGCAGAGTTAAACAGCAGTTATAATGCTAAATGTTAGATACTGATATATTGCAGATTTAACTGCAAGCACTAACAAACTCGCTTTATAAGCTGTACATTAGTTTGTCTCCATCTGTATAAAATCCTTGTTGCAAGATGAACTGTGTAATGTAATGTAGTATACAAATGTGTTGCAACCCTCCTGGCCGATAATAACCAACCTCATGGCTAACACAGCACACGCAACACAACGATAAACTGTGTCTCTGAGAAACCAGTTAGTGGCTGACTCAAGAAAAATATATATTGGAGGTATCAAGTGAGTAGAAAAAACTGCAAATACCAAAATACTGAAGGGCACCAATTGCTGGCTGGAAAACTAAAGTTACTGATTGTGCCAATATGGGAAGTTCTCCCAACTTACTCCAGGTCACATGGCCTGGCATACAAGCATACACTTTTTTGCCATGCAGTGACAAAGACAAAAATGCACCTTATTGATTTGATCACTTTTTTCTTCATTAGTAGTTGTTTACATTCACTCATTTCATATTTCTGCAAGTCCTAAAGCCTTAAGTATCATATTAGCAAACATATTGTTACGTTATGTTTTTCCTTCACATTCGTACGGGGTTCGTGAGGATTTGGAGTGAATAATGACAATACTACTTGATGAAGTATCGAAACACTTTATTGGTGAGTATTGTCAGGACAGTTCCAAAACACATTTTTACAGTTGTTGATGAATTACTATAAACACGTTGACACGATCAGCGACACAGCCTCCAGGTTAACAGGCTATCACGGCAAAGCACTAGAGTACAACTCCCGACTCTGCTCGTTCGTTTCGTTCTTGGAACTCCACGTACTTTCAAAAGTCCACGCTACAACTTGCGATGCACTCGACAACACACAGAGCACAGCTCCCAACTCTTCGGTTCAGTCGTTCCCGGAGCTCAACACGCTCTCTCGACGATGCACCAACCATAATACACTACGAGCCTCTTTCGGTCCACTCGGCACCCGCTGCCCGGCTGTCAACTCGATTGCCTCGCTAGACAAGACACCAACTTGATACTAACTTGCACTCTATGCGAGGCACTCACTCGCACTCTAGGCGAGGCACACTACTGACTGACTGCAGACCAGCAGGGTTTATATAGCTTTCAGCTTGTGTTCGAGAACATTCTGGGCTAAACCAGTAAGAATTGGTTCCAAAAGGTTCTCCATCAGTCCACGGCATATTGCCAATTTTGTCGCCAAATGGATGATTTCTCGCCAAATGTCGCAACCCTGCCTTCCCTTGGCATTTTATGGCAACCCTAAAACTGCCTTGCGGGGAAGCCATCTCACCGCGTCTGTACGTTTCGTAACACTGCCCCCTCCCAAGGACTGCACGTCCTTGGCTGTACAACCCTTGGTCAGAAGCTAAATTCGATGCAATCAAAATGCTTTAAAACATACAGATAATATAACTAAAGAAAAAAATAATTTACACTATGTACAAGTTATATATACAAATTAAACATGTAACAATTTTAAATTATACAAATTTAAGTTCATAAAGAATTTCAGATTTCAGTCTCGGTCTTTTCATTAAAATATACCAGTGTCAAATACTTTTCCGCTGCAGTTCTCAGATATATTTATGTTTTGCATATCACAGTCTGAAGATTCAGTTCTTTGAAATTTTCCATCCACAGAAAGATCTCAAACAGTTTGTTCATTACTCTGTAGTTCATTCCCATCATGTATACAATTCACCTCAGTATTTTCAGCCACAAGTACATGCACACTCACCTTCATTTCCTGGGAACCAGTTCCGACTTTTGCACCAAAGTCGCTGATCCTTTACAAGCAGAAGTATCCGGGTTTAGAATCAAGTCCTTGTCTGCACAAGCACTATGAGACGCACACATAGTTTGTGAAGTGAGTGAATTTTCTTGCAATACTAGGGCACACTGCTTAAGCTGCACATCAGCTTCTCCCATCTCTGCATCACATGCACCTTCATATGGTTCAACATCTGCTGCCTGTGACTTCGTAACTTCATTATCAGTTTCAACGAACTTAACAATCGCATTTTCACTTTCTTCCACTTCAAGCTTTTGAGAATCAAAATCTACTTTACCGTCTTTTATTTCTTCATGTTTTTGTTCTTTATCTTTAATCCCGTTGGTTGTTTCATCCATCATTTCTTAATCTTTCTCAGGCAGTTTGTTAGTTACTTTCTTCATTTCTTCATCCTTTGATTATTCAGAAGCCACCTCTCTCATTTTTCCTTAACCAATAGTAAATTTGATTACCCTTCATTATGACAATGTTAGTTCTGCAGTTGGCTGAACTTTATCTTTAATAAATTTTGCTTCTAAAAATATGGTTAGTAGATTGTTTGAAGGAATACTTTTATTTATCAGAGTGGTAGATAATTTTACTGAATGGCACATTTATTAATGCCTGCTGATGCCACATATGTTAAAAAATAGCATTTAAGTTTTAAGAATTGGTAGTGGAGTTATAACTTTAAGTCAAGTTACTAAATTAATTTTGTCACATTACTAAATTATTTTGGTCAGCCAGTGGGTGGTGATGTTGGAAAGGCACAGTTGGAGACGGATGTTGAAAATTCATTAACAAAATTAATGGGAAAATAATGTAAAGTATTTTCAGTTTTAGAATGCAAGTTATGAAGCACTAAAATAGTAATACAAAGTTAAATAGGATAATAAAAATTAGACATGATAATTTAGATATAAAATCAAAAATTTTCAGGAGATTCCATTTCTTGAATTCACTTGCATATCATTTTGTATACAATAGAAAAATTACCATGATACCAGTAGTAGTTATTCGGTTCCCACCTCCTTCATGCATATAAAGAATTTTAGAATTTGAAAATTAAAATTGTTATCTTTAAATGTATTTTAATAGCAATTTAGAATGATTACTTTTATCAAGTATGTGAATGTTAATATCGCTTAATGTAATTTACAATTTTACGATAATTTACAGTCAATGGGAACATGGCAACGATGATGGATCAGGCAGCGAGGCTGCTGGATTTTACGCAGAAGCTTGATATAAATTTACTTGATAATGTTGTGAATTGTATGTACACTGGTGAAGGTGCCCAGGTGAGTTATATTTCACAAATTAAATAATTTTGTGCAAGATCAGTCAATATATGCTATATGTTTGAAAATTGCCTTTTAAATATTGTTTGGTGTATTTTTCAAGGTAGAATTTTTTTTATTGCTGTGCTGACTGCGTCTTTTTATTTTGTAGCAAAAAATTGCACAAGAAGTTCTGACAGCTTTGAAAGAGCATCCTGATGCATGGACACGAGTGGATGCCATTTTAGAATTTTCCAAAAACCAGCAAACCAAATATTATGGGTTACAGATTTTGGAAAACGTCATTAAAACAAGATGGAAGGTCCTGCCTCGAAATCAGTGTGAAGGTAAAACTTTTATAATTATGACTGTATATTCATTTAAGCCATCATATATTTCTATAAAAATTGATTTCTTGTTTTCAATAACATTTTAATATCAAAATTTGGCACGCATTGATTTTTATGAATTGAAACAAATTGGTTTTTACTTTTTTCCTGGCAGAATTTCGAATTTGAATCTGTGTAAATTATGCTAAAGAATCCTCCATGCATTACTTGAGAAGTAGCCAATTTCATCTAAAAATTCTTCTCATTTTATGGCTGGGTAGCCCTCATAATATTATTAAACTTAAAACAACATTGAATGAAATTTCTTTAAGATACACTGATTTTTCAGAGGTACTCTTATGTGAATGCAGGCTTGAGATCAGTATTTGTAATTTTTTCATGACTTCTGTTACACTGCTTATTAAACAATTCTTTTCTTTTAGTAAAATTATACTTTTTATAATTTCCAAACTTTTTGTGTACATATTACAGAACTGACTTTTAAATTAAGGTAATTACGATTTCTATGCAGAAAATATTTTTAATGCGTACTACATAAATTTCCTTTTTTTTTTTTTTTTTTTTTAAATCTAAGTATGGAACATGATCAACATCGTTGTGTTCTTGAAGCATACATTATTTGAATATTTTCCATGCAAAAAATCATGCATGTATAATAAGGTTTTTTTTTTTAACGTTGTAGTATGTGACCTAGTTGTTAGTCCTATGATGCAAGGAGATATAGATTTTCATCAATTTTATTGCTGTCAGAACTCTGACAAACATTTGTGTGGTAAATGTTTTATATAAGGTAAAATAAAGCTATGCAAAAATTTAATTTTAAAGATGATATTGATTAATTAAGACACTATTACATGATATTGATTCTTGGAAAATTCAGGAAGCCAGGTAGTTCCTCTTAAAGGAGCAAAGTATTTTCCCTCGTTGAGAAAGAGAAATGTTTTTCTATGTCCAGCTGAATCAATATTTGGGATGGTTTTATTTTGCATTTTAACTAATAAAATGTGTGAAATAAAAATCAAGTTATTTTATTTCCTTTAAGATTATGTTAATGTCACTTATTTGAGTATGGCATTTTAGCAGACTAAACATTGCTTTGCTCAAAGTATATTTTTTATGTAATTATATAATTTATATATAGATGTTTGGAGCAAAAATTTAAGGTTGTTTAGTTCATAATGTAAGGATAATTTATTTCATTTAGTAGAAAGATTTGAAATGAATGCTATTGACAGAAGATGTAAACTGAGGGACTTGCATTTTAATACAAAAATTTAAGGTTGGTTGGTATTAGTGATGAATACTGAAATGCCCCAAGAGGTTTTAGCACTTATATAAAGTATATAGCTTTCATTTTACAGATTATTAGTATAGGAACTTTTGAGATAATTATTATTCCATTTCCTTTTATAAATAAAATTCCTTGTCATTGTCATTTAATAAAACTAAATCTGTACTTAAAATGTATAGTTTTTAAAATTTAAGTTTTTGCATATACAAACAAAGAAGTATGAAAACATTATTAAAATGTGCATTTAAAGAAAATTGAAAAAAAATTCAATCTACCTGTTATTAATCAATTTTATCTTTAAATCTTTATAATCATAATATATATGAAACTAGAAATGCCTTTTATATTACTAGTGATTATTATTGCTAGTGATGATCACTGTAAAACCATCTGCTTAACAGAGACCATCTACTCTTAGTTGTTTAGTTATTATTGTTGGGAGTTGCTAGTTCAGTGTGAACTGGGATATCTCAGGGTTAGCTTAGCGTTCTCTTTAAATGCGCCTTACATTGTGTTGTGTTTATGCAATTACTGATTGTACTCTGCAGTGCTATGAAAACCCATATGAGTATTTCCATGGAAAATTCTAGAACTTTGAAGCGTTCCATTTGATGAAAATAAATTTTATTAACCTATCATCGGACCTGTATGCATTCAATATATTATGAACCCATACATATGCAACAATATTATGATCATTTGATTGTATTGCTGTACCTAATATATCTTAAAAACTGGTTGTAATAACGTAAATTTCTATTTGAAATATAAAATACATATTCACCATGTATTTATTTTTCTATATTTAGAAAGTAATATAGTTATTTTAGAACTTTTTAAAAAGGAATATCGAAGTAAAGTTTTTCATTTTAATTTCTCTAAATAAATAAGATGATTGCTTTTTATTTATTTAATATACATTTGCCAAATTGATAGATTATTTCATTTTATATTTAAAGATTTCTAAGTATTGAATTCAAACATATTTGTAATTTGTAATATTTGTAATATTGAATTCAAACATTTTGTTTCTAAGTATTATTCAAACAAATTACTGCACTTTCTTGATAATAATATTTTGTTTAGATTAATTTCTGGATTTTAATTTTGGAGTTTTGTTTCACAGGTATCAAGAAATATATTGTTGGCTTAATTATAAAAACATCTTCAGATCCAGAAAGTTTGGAGAGAGAAAAAGTTTATTTGAATAAATTAAACATGATACTTGTTCAGGTATATAATAATATATTTTATAACATGTACTTTTTTGTCCTTTATATTTTCAAAGCATTTTTTTTTTCAATCATGAACAGTTTATTTTTTAAATCTACATAAGAAATTAAGATTTATATTCCAATATCCAGTCTTTGTTTGATTTTTTTTCCCCTAGATCTTAAAACGAGAGTGGCCTAAGAACTGGCCTACTTTCATCAGTGATATTGTTGGTGCCAGCAAAACCAACGAGAGCTTGTGTCAAAATAATATGAATATTTTGAAGCTGTTAAGGTAAACTTATCTAATTGTAGTTCATTATAATGAAACTTAATACAAATAGTTGAAATTTGTTTTAAATAAATTTCCGTGAAGTTCTGTGCACAAAATTTTGAATTTTTTAATTCAATATTTTAGTGTTTTTATTACAGTTTTCATGTGGAGTGATGGATGTTTCACAATAAAAGAGTTTCGAAAACTAGTTAAATTGTTACTTGGCAACAATTTGGCAGTAGTTTACTGTGGCAACTTATTTTTTATTTTGATATATTGCATAAAGCTTAATATCATCTTTTGTTTTTAGTGAGGAGGTTTTTGATTTTTCGAGTGGGCAGATGACACAGGCAAAAGCCAAGCATTTGAAAGATACAATGTGTATTGAATTTTCACAAATCTTCCAACTTTGTAATTTTGTTATGGTAAGTTAAATAGCTTAAAATGTTATGTGTGTGTGTATGTACATGTATATAAATGTGTTTGCAAATAGTATTACAATTAACAAAATTTGACTTACATTAAGTTAAGAATTGTATTGGGTTTAAACATGAATTGAAATCTCTAACTGTAGATTGTGGTGCATACATAGATTTGTTTCTTACCTATATTTGCTTTTCAGTTTTTTTTTAAACTTAATAGTTATCTATGTTTGTTTATTATAAATATCTAAATACATTTGCTTAAACAGAAGAAAAGTAAATTCAAAGTAATTATAATAAATTATTGTATTCAATTTCATTGTAATGATAATAAGGAAAATTATACAATAAATTATTATAATATAGTAATAATAACAGCAATTATTTTACAATCAGTTATTTATTTTACTTAATCACAAAATTAAGTTTTGAAAACACTCATTTTTACGTATATGTAAATAAATAAATGCACAAGTTAAAACATAATGCAATTAAACAGTTAATTACAAGTGATGGATCAGTATATTATCTTAGATTAAAAGTAATTTTCTCTCTTCTTAAATCTGTGCATGCAGTGAAAATAAACTGGAGGAAAAAAGGGGGAAAATTCCCTACTAAACACGATTTAAAATAATATATTATTAAGTTTTGGAGCTGGCTATTGTTACAAAGCTGTGAACATGAAATATCCTAATCTAATATAAAATGCATTGCAGTAGCTGGTAAGAAACATGAAATGTCAACCAGCATAATATAAAGATGATCCATATATCCAGTAAATATTTTCTTTCCTAAGAATGTTATTTTTTAAGGCAAATTACCAACACTTGAAAAAATGCCTTAATGTAGGTACTATCATTTTTTGCAGGTTTAAGTATGAAATGTATTCTTGTTCTAAATATTTAAACATTTGTCATAAATCTTTTACAGGAAAACTCCCAGAATGCTTTATTAGTTCATGCAACATTAGAAACCTTGCTTCGATTTCTTAATTGGATACCACTTGGATACATATTTGAAACCAAACTGATAAGTACTTTGGTTTATAAGGTAAGTTTTTTCATCCATATTGTCATTTATTTGCTTTTATATTATATATACAAAATAATGTATTTAAAATTCAACCCATATTCAATTTGGACCAAAACTAAAAACATAGTAGTAAACTGCAAGAAAGGGTTAAAACATGCCAAAAACAAAAATGAAAAGAGAAATTTGCATCTTTTGCTGTATCGTCATCAGGGGGTTAGTGCAACTAAAAAACTAAATAAATCAGCCTGTTGCTAAACTAACAGAGACACAAATTAATAAATAGTCTCAAAAAATCAAATCTGTGTCTTTTTCAGTCCAACCTCTGCAGGCTGAAATTAAGCAGTGTAAAAATTTGTAAAATTATAGCGTAAAAAACAAAGTTAAAAAAAAGCTTAAAAATATTATTTTTGATTATATATAATATTATTTCATACATGTATGTAATGTTCTTAATTTTTCATCCTTTTAATTGTATTGCGTTGGCAAGAAAGCAATTTCTGCTTGTTCCGATACATAGTGTTATGTTCATTTTGTTATTCTTTTGTCAATCTTATAATTTTTTCCTTCTGAGATATGGCAGCTGACACTTTTAAGTTGCTACAAAAACAAATTCCATGTATTTTTGTTTACATCTATTACTTTGTGGTCAATTTTAACATGAGGTGCAAAAATAAACACTTTTAACATACTTTATTTTTTTATTTCCATGAAGACAAGAACGCAACTGAGGCTTGCAAAAGTTTACAAAGACATAATGTTTTGTAGTGTTTATTTCTAATAGAATGCATGTGTCAGAATTGGTTTAAAAAATTTCATTCTGGAGATTTTTTTTTCTTGAAGATGACCAGTGTTCTGGCTAAACTTTTGAAGTTGTTGATGATAAAATTAAAGCCATAATTGAATGAAATTGTTATATAACTGTGAATGAGATTTCAAAAAGTTTAATTGTATCATACATATGACAATTGGAAATCACATAGGATGTCTGGAACTTGTTAAGAAGCTCGATTTTATGATTCCGGATGAACTGAAAGAAATTCAGGTACTTACGGAAAATCCCGTTGAGAGGCGGCACCAAACCAAAAAAACCGCATTTACTAAATACAAGAAGTAAAAATACTTTTAATAATTTTTCCCCCTCGAAAATGCGTCATAGAGAGATAAAAGGAGTCATTTACTCAAGAATAATAACTGACACGTGTAATCAAGGTTACACCAAACCCAGAGTGTTTGAAGACTTTTCCATTTTTCGCGAAAAATTATGTAGTTTCTTTAATAGGCAAAAATGGTCAATGGGATTTTCCATAAGTATCAAAATTCGCATAATGAAGCGATATTTGTGATACTTTTTTCAAATGAATTATCACTGGTGATAAAAAAAGGATTATCTAATAACATTAATTGAAAAAGATCATCTTCCAAGCATGATGAATCGGCATAAATCATATCAAAAGCTAAATTGCATCAGAAAAAGATTATGCTGTCAGTTTGTTGGGATTAATTACGACGGTGCTTTGTATTTTGGGCTGCTTCCAAGCAACCAAACTATCAACTTTAGAAATTGGAAGAAGAAGTCAAAAAGAATAGGCCAAAATTGGCAAATGGAGAGAGGGAAAGTGTTCTACCACTACAATGCAAAGCCTTGTTCATCATTAGCAATACATGAAATTATTGGAGCTTAGTTGGGAAGTAATGTCACATTCCCCATATAGGCCTGGTCTTTCACTGTCGGATAATAATTTATTTCAAAGTTTACAAAACTTCTTAAAGGGTTAAAATTTCAGTAATGACAATGACCGCAAAACCACACTTGGACGAGTTTTTTCCTATAAAGACCAAAAATTCTGTGAGCACGGAATCTGTAAATTGCTAGAAAGGTGGCAAAAGGTCATCAAACAGAACGGAAGGTATTTGACCGATTAAAGTTCATCTTTTGTGTAAAAAAAATTGAGTTTTATTTCACACTAAAAAAAAAAAAAAGAGAGAGAGAGAGAGAAATTACTTTCTGGCCAACCGTATATTTAATGAAATATTAATTTGATTTCAAAATATTATTTCAGTTTTTGAATGTTCCTATGTTCCGTAATGTTACATTAAAGTGCTTGACAGAAATAGGTGAGTAATTCTATTCCATATTATTTTTTACTTTTATTTTTACATTCCTACTGTATGCAGTGAAAAAGTTTTGAATTTGTTATATGTGGTAAATTTAAAAAAGAAACTTAAAATTTAGTCATTAAAAGTATTTGATATTTCATTAAATAGCATGAATTGACATAATGGAAATCATTTTGTACTGGCCTTTGTGCAAGTTGTTCATAATTTTCTGAAACTGTTTCACTAGGAAAAAATGAAACATTATATGATGGCCTCCCATATATATATGACTTTGACCTCTGGAAGGTCATTCAACAGGATTCCAGTTGTTATGCTGTTAGTGATGTACGACATGTAACAAGAAGCGATCATCTGGTATTGTTGAGATCCATGTCCACTGTCCGGAACCACATCTTCTGTAGGGATTTTGATCCCTTTGGTAATGATTCTATAGCTTGTTGATGACGCTATATGGCACATTCAGCACTCTCGCAACAGCGGATTGTTTGCCATGAACTTGCAACATCCCAATGACCATCCAACGTATTTCATCCTGCAAATGGTGTCTCCAACTCATACTTTCCACTTTGGTTGTCTTAAATTATATGGAACTATCGCTGCTCGTGAACTGGTGCATCGGTCTGGCATGCCACTTTTTAAACCGTTGTAGCGTAGCTGCGGGATTGCATTTTATGCTAATTTTGACTGCCTATTTGTGATTGGCAGTCAAAATTTGTCTATTGGTGATGCAACCTCATACGTAAATTCCCCTTTTTACATTCGTACCTTTTCTTTTAGTGTTTGTTGATTATTTTCTGAACCAAATGAGTAATCTTGCACTAGAAAAGTCAATTTGGTGTTGCTGTGTAGCTTGAAAAACCTTGTGTTTTTTAAGACTGCATGTTGTTTAATTTCAAAAAGATTATTACCAGTAGAACGTGCATTGTTGACAAAACAGCATGAGTAAACTAAATAAAAGCATAGTTCTTTTGTAAACCATTACGAAACTTCTGGTAGCATCTGTTGCAGTAGTAGACAAAGGAGAAAAAATGTTTAAGTGCAAACAACATTTGAAATCTTATTCATGATTCTGAACATAAAATCTGTTTCTAATTTGATGAACAATCTGATTCACATTTGGGACATCAGTGTTTACACTGGCTTATGGGTAAAAGGATTTAGTATGTGCCTTTGAATGGGTACTAAGATAAAGCTTTTTCATGTCTTTTTTTTTCCTTGTTGCTAATGGGGTCCACCAATGGCTAAGTAGTGAAGTTATTGAACATTAGTAGTTTGACCTAGATTCATTTCCAGGTGAATGAGCAGACTGCAATTCCATTTTCATTGTTATCCCCATGTGTAATATGGATATGAGCCAGTTTCACGTAGAAAGTCCTCCATAAAGGCATTTTTTTACCCCTTAAGTGCTTTGCCATAATCAAAATAAACCCATAGTTAACAACTCTCCCTGTTTAGGCGGTAGATTTCTGATTTTTGACCGTTCCCCCCACCAACCCGATTTATGATATATTTCTCCCAGTTTTCTCTTATTCTTAAAATTTTTATACAGCTTGGCTTATTTCATTATTTACGACCCTTAAAAAGGGTTTTCAGGGTCTGATAGCTCCTGGTTTTTCTCTAAACTGCATAGAAAACCAAAGTAGTTTCATCAGTGAGAAATTATGGCATACTTCTGCTTTGTGAATAAGAGCATGTGTCCGAAAACATTGTGTTCCTTTTCTCCGATGACCATCGATTGCCACTGCCTGTCATCTGGTACATAGTAGCCAATGAACACAAAGCAAGATCGAGGTTGTTATTTCGATCATTTTATCACTAAGCTGTGCGAGTGCTCTCGAGAAATAGTTTAAGAAATTATGTTTATGTCTGTGAGAAAGGTAAAATACTCATGTACCTGTCAAAAATCATGCACAGTTGATTTTCCTTCTATTATTTCCTCAAGGAAATGTAACAAATTTGCGATGGGTACGGTTTGCCATCGTGATTTTTTGATTTCACATGATGAAAGGGCTGATGTTCGTAAACATGTGCATACATAAAAACATAAGGACAAAAGGTCTATTGAAAAGAAACAAAAAATAAATTTTTTCTGTGGAAACAAAGGGCAAAAAAGTTAATGCAAAATGTACGGTTTGCATTTAGGAATTAATAACTGAACTTTCAGATATTAATTAGCAACTGATTAAAGGTAATTCATTATTAAAAAGATATATTTTTATCATTTAAAAATCTCTTTGCCGTTGAGAAAAATCTCCCGATTTTTTAGTGTCATAGGTTGGCAAGTATATAAATCAAATCCTGTTGCTACTAGCAGTTGTGCAAAGAAGCACTGCATGTGAATGAAGGTTGGTCTTTTTAATCTTTCCCCTAACATTTTAGGGACTTATAAGTTGGCATCTCAATTAAGACTTGCGTCACCTATGGGGAATGTTGGTAGGTCAGGAGAGAACCACAACTGAATTTTATAGTTTTAGGATGTGGGTGAAATATTAGCCTTTTATTAATCTGCTAAATATGGTATTTTATAAATATAAAAAACTACTTCAAGGTTTGTACGGTCCTTAAGAGTCCTTAAAAGTCCTTAGATTTCTTGGAATCGATTTTTGGTTCTTAAAAGTCCTTAATTTTGGCCAAAATCAACAGAAGGTCCTTAATTTTAATCATCTGAAATTTGTGTCTGTTTTTACGACTGTCATTTTGAGCGCGAATTAGCACTTTGAGGAATATTTTTGGCGATTCACTGTCGTATATATGGTAATCTTTTGAATGGGTTCATGAGTTATAATTTGTTTCTATTTCTAATATAAATGATGGGATACTCGAGTTTCTAAGCAAGAAGTGAAACATAAGCATTTCGAAATTCGTTTCTTCTAGTAAAGAGCTCTTAAACAACTTTTTGCTTTTGGGGTAAAATTAATTTTATAGAGAAAACTGATGCACATTTTGACGATTTTAAGATTAGTTTCTATAGAAACTTTTTAATTCCAAAATCTGAGTATTTTTCAACGATTTTTTTGAAAACGTCGTAAAATAATGGTAATATATTGAAATTATATTTAAAAAATAACATTAAAATAAAACATTTTTATTTTTCCCTGTCATATTATAAAATTTCATTTTGGCAACTTATACAATATTTTAAATCTGAAAAATAAACAAAGTATAATGCTATAAAGCACAATTTACGAAACAGCTCTTAGCAAAAGCAAAATTAGCTATGTAATTAATTAAAAATGTCTTGTTTTTAATTTTTTCATAGTAAGAGTTTTTTCCATGCAACTGTCTCAGAATATTCAAAATTCTCAGAATGTGCATCAGTTTTCTCTATAAAATTAATTTTATACTTTATCCCTCCTACCTTTTTTCAAAATATATCTGGCTTTTTTACTGTTACAGAAATGGTTGGGATAATTTTTCTTTGGGATTTTAGACATTGCAGCTTGGAAAGTTGAGAAGGATTTGAATGCAAGATTTATATACCCACAATTCTAGAAGATTCCAGAAATATGTGACAAAATGAAATATGTCTCCATGGTGTCAACACGTAATGGATGTATTTTACAGAAAGTTTACAATGAATTTCTTAATTTTGGGAGAACGTCAGGAAGAACAATGAAAACATAATATTTGAATGTATTACTTCTGATACTAGAATCTTAACATATTTATCTTCTCTTTATTTTCTCTACTTTTCACTGGACAGAAGCATGGATAATATCAAAAATGCTTCTGATCTTATCACATGGACAGGCATTATAGAAAGGGATTTTTTGATTATTAAAGAAACTGAAAACTTACAATTAAAAAGATTCATCTAATATTTCTTAATACATCATACACATAGCTGGCACTAGGCATTTTCCCACCTGATGCAATCTCTGTGGATCCTAAGTTCTGCTGCCTACTGCCTTTCTAAATTCTGCTTTCAATGCTTGCTCTAAAATTCTAAAAGTTTTGTCGTTTCTAGATTTTGTTGTTCGGTGTGTCATAAAATTCTAGAAATTCTGCCACATCAGCTCTGTAACCGTCCTTTACTATATATATATTTCATATTGCTTCTGAATGTTCATATTACTAAAATAAAATTAGCCACTTTTTCTGTACATTCTAAATGCATTTAGTGTTTTTTGGAATAACGAAAATCCTTAATTAAATCCAAAAATTCTAAAATGAAAAGGAAACGTGTTGAAGAAAGAAACTGAGTACATAAAGCAAATTATTCTTTAAAGATATGTGCAGCTATTATTATGTAAATTACCTAACTGTTTATGATTTCACCCTTTACTATAATTTCCCTTTTCTATGGGGTTGGAGGGAAAGTTCTGTCATATTTTAAATAGGCAGGTGATTTTTCTTGTAAATAAAAAAAAATCTGGCTAGTAAGTCAATCTAATTTTTTTTTTTTTTTTTTTTTAGCTGCTGTATAATATAAAAGGTGCCCTTTTTTACCTTTCATCATTTACTTGTAATATTTAAAGGGAAAAACATGTCGGTAGATAAAGTGCATTTACGACACTGCATTTTATATGAATTCCAAAAAGGAAGCAATGCATCTGTTGCATGTAAAAAATTTATGTGCGGTATTTGGAAAAAGATATATGTAAATGTTCGTACTTGTCAAAGATGGCTTAGCAAATTTCGTTCCCGGGGACCTGAGCCTCAAAGAAAGTGTTTCGATCTGGACGACCATCCAAGATCGATAATGATGTTTTTGCGATCCATGTTGGAAAATAATCCACATTTAACAAGTCGAGAAGTTGCAAAAGAGTTTGGCATTCATCATACAACTGTTGGAGATCACATTAAAATCTCTTGGGTTTTTGTGTTAAAGCAAAGTGTTTGGGTTCCACATGAATTAACGGAAAAGAATTTGTCTGATCGTGTAAGAATATGTTCATTACATCTGATTAGACACAATGTGGAGCCGTCGTTTTGGGACAGGCTGGTTACTGGAGATGAAAAGTGGATTCTTTACGAGAAATATTAAAGAAAAAAATCTTACTGCAAATCAGGAACATCATCAGCAACAGTTCCAAAACCAAGTATCCATCAACAAAAGTACTGCTTTGTTTTGTGGGTGGGACAGGAAAGGTCCAGTGCATTTTGAGTTGCTGAAACAGGGGAAAAACATCAACTCGGATCTGTACTGCAATCAGCTGGATAAATTGAATGCAGCTATCAAAGAAAAAAGGCCAGCATTAGCGTCCAGAAAAGGAATAGTGTTCCATCACGATAATGCTCGCCCGCATACTGCAGTGGTGACACTACAAAAACTGAATGCGTTTAGGATGGGAAATCCTTAGTCACCCCCCGTATTCACCTGACATTGCACCCTCTGATTATTACCTGTTCAGATCTCTGCAAAATTATCTAACGGGAAAAAAATTCAAGTCTTTTGAAAGTGTTTTCTAAGGCAGTTGCTGACTATTTTAACTCCATGGATGAGAACTTCTACAAAAACAGGAATTTACAGGTTACCTGGAAGATGGCAACAGGTTGTAACAAATAACGGAGCATATATAATTGATTAATATTAAACACATATTTTTATAAATGAATTCAAATATTTTCTTTAAAATACGACAGAACTTTCCCTTCAACCCAATATTTCCTCATATGATAGAGTTATTGAACCAGATTATATTACAATTAAATTGTATAATCTTTGACAACTAGTCCACATTATTAGTTTGAATTTGACTGTTCTTGTTTAATTACGTCACCGTGAGCTGTAATTGATTTTGTTAGCATCAGAACATGCCTTTATGTTCTAAGTTCTTTTTAAATAAGAAGGCTTATTCAAACCTTTTTCTGATATTGTAGTTAATTTCAGACATAGTGGATATTATGCTTCACGTCTGTCGGGGGTTTTGGACTATTTAACTTTTACCAGATTAATTTAAACCCTCATAGGTACATTATGGAGAGGTTGACAAGTTAGGAGATGAAGCACGCAGAGAAACTGGTGAAAGCACTGCTTTGAATATTGATACAAAACTCTAATTGTTAGAAAAGATGCTTAAAAGAGAAGGAAAAATCAATATAAACATTCAAAATATGGCCAAATATCATAAGTGTAAAATATTTAATGCTACTTGAGAAATTGCATAGTTTATTTTGTTCTCAAACTTATTAACAATTATGTTAATTAATTCGTGTTTAGTAATAATGCATACTACTAAGGGATCTATTTTATTTTTAGGATGGTATTTCAGAAGTGAAATTCAGGCATAGATAATATCTTCAATTGAATTTATTCAGTTTCCTTTTGCTCATAGGCCCTTAATTTTTTTCATTAATGGTCCTTAAAAGTACTTAATTTCCGTGTGCAGAAATGTGTACGAACCCTGTACTTTTATTCAAATTATGGTATTTATTAACACTTTTTCTTGTTTAATTTATAAAATCAGTAAAAGAATAAATATATTTTTCGTTTTGCGATTTTGCGTCGGACTCATAAACGTCTGTTCACTTTTCAAACTGTTGCCACAAAATGTTAGAGTCCTGCATTATATTTGAAGAAATTAAATAATGAAAAATCTGCATAAATGATTGTCTATTTCTCGCATTGTGATAAAACAATGGTACATAGAGCCATCGAATTTTGAATGACGAAATCCTACTGCGAATATGGGCATCTGAAATCCCAAATTTGGAATTTGTTTTATTATAGATTTTATATTTTGTAAAACTTTAACGAATTTTTGATTTACAAACTCAATGCTTTATTGGCAACGTTATATAGAAAAAAAATACTTTTATCTCCAGCTCGCGAGACTGTGTATATCGGAAATTCTAAAGATACGCTTAATTTAACATTATTTTGCGATATTGCTCTTGAACTGAATTTTATGGTTTAAGTGCAAAGAACATAATATTTAATAAATAAAGGTAACACTCAAAACGTTAAAAAAACGCCCCTTTGGACGTAATTTAAAATCTGAAACATTTTTTTTTTTTTTTTTTTTTTTTTTTTTTTTTAGTTTTGGAATTGGGGAGAGGATGTTAATTTAACAGTGGTGGAAGGGGTGCATGGAGCGAAAAAATAGTTGGGACCACCTGCAGTAGGTAATGTAAATGAGATCATTAAAAAAAAATGGGAAAAAGGAATGATTGCTGCTTTTAATTATTGTAACTAGTAAACTAGATGTTTTAAATTTAGAGAATCAAAGGTTTACCATTATTTGAACTAAATGCAAAGTTTATGTCTCCTTTATTAGATAATATAACTTTTGTTTAGGACACTAGTTAACATGTTCCTTTTGATTAAGTATTAATTGGCCTGTGTGAATTCAGACCCAAGGAGAAAGTCTTTGTATATTTCATTCATTCATTGCAGATTTCCCCCCATCCTGTTAGGGATGCCTTTTCCCTAACAATTATTTGCTAAAAATAATATATTTGTTAATTTATGCTTTTCTTATTTTAAAAATTAGTAGACATAATTAAATAACTTGCTAAATTATGTATGCATTTTAAATAGCTGTTTATTTTTATCGTTATTTTAAGTTCAGACTTCATAAAAGTAGTGGTTTAATGGGGGAAAAATTCGAAACTCAGTTTTGATCGGACTTTATGTATATGAGTTTTCTTTTTATTTGTTTTATTTCTTCCAGAATGCAGGTAACTTATTCTTCTGAATATAAATGAAATATGATAATAAACAATTAAGATATTTATCATATGTGGTGCTGTGTTGAAATAAGAGTATCTAGCCTATATAAATGATCACTTATTGACTCTGAATGAGCATATTATTTATTTTAAATACTTTCTATAAAACTCCCTTTTTTGATCTATACAAAATTGATGGACTGAAAAAATGTGAAAGTTTCATATGAAAATTCCTTATGGAAGTTATTAATTATGACAAATTTGTTTCTGATGTGCAAATGTTAGATTAAAAAGTTTTAAATGTGATATTTTTTCAGCTGGTGTTTCAGCTCCACATTATAATGATGTATTTATTATGCTGTTTACTCAGACGATGGGCCAGTTGGAACAGGTAATAATCTTGGTTTTGAGCTATTTTTGATAAAAGATGTGTTATAACTTTTTCTTGTATTTTAGTTATTTCTGTGTGCAATTTTTTTAAAACTCATATATGTTGTTGCATTTTTTCCCCTTCCTCTTGACGTTCGTATGTTACGGGGCTCAGGCGGATTTGGAGTGAATAACGACAACAGCACTTGAGGAACTTTCAAAAGACACTTTATTTAGCCAATATTAATCAGGACAGCTCAAAAATCACATTTTACAGTCGTAGAAAAACTACTATAGTAGATTTTCTCCGTCATGCATAGATGCATCTGCTTGTGCGATGTTTCTTTCTGTGATGTTCCACAGATAAAAGTAGCATTAAAATTATACTGGTTATCATTAATTAAGCAAAAAAGATGATTACTCTTGCGTTTTTCTTTTTCTGACATCAGTTGTTACATTATTTTCTTTCTTCACGTTCGTATGAGATTCGTGAGGATTTGGAGTGAATAATGACAATACTACTTGATGAAGTATCAAAACACACTTTATTGGCCAGTGTTGTCAGGGCAGCTCCAAAACACGTTTTTGCAGTCGTCGAAGAACTACTATAAACACACTGACGCAATCAGCAACACAGCCTTCAGGTTATCAGGCTATAACGGTCGATAACTTCACTGCAAAGCACCAGATTACTGCTTGGTCGTTCTCGGAACTCCACGTACTCTCTAGACTCTCCACGCTATAACTCGCAATACACTAAAAAAACTCTCGATGCTAGACTTCGAGCTACTCGCTCAATGACTGACTATCGGCTCGGTAGACGAGGCACACACACTCAATACTAACTCGCACTCTAGATGAGGCACACACACTGACTGCGAACCAGCAGGGTTTATATAGCTTTCGGCTTGTGTTCGAGAACATTCTGGACTAAACCGATAAGAATTTGTTCCAGAAGGTTCTCCATTGTCCATGGTGTATCGCCAAATGTGGCAACTCTGGCTTCCCTTGCCATTTTAGGGCAACCCTAAAACTGCTTTGTGGGGAAACTATCTCACTGCGCCTGTACATTTGGTAACAATATAATGTAATGATTATGCATAATGTGGGTTTTGAAAATTAAATTTTTATTGCTAAATAAATTAATGTGCATTTTATTTTTTCTTTGAATTAATGTAGATGTTACCTGCACGAACAGTCATCAAAGATGCTTATGCTAATGGCCAAGATGAAGAACAAAAATTTATTCAAAACCTGAGTTTGTTCTTGTGTACTTACTTAAAAGAACATGGGAGTTTGATCGAAAAAAGAACCGATCTGCAGCATATGCTTCGTCGGGTAATTATTATTTATTTAATTTTTATTTTAAATGAATATGCATAGTTTCTTACAGTTTTGAAGTAGCACTAATACTTTTTCATAATACTTTTTCTAATGTATTAAATTGTCAAGTTTATTATTCTGAAAATATTGCTTGCAAAAATTTATATTTATGTTTAAAAAAAAACTCAAGTAGTAGTAAGTTAACTATAAATTTTATAAATTGAAAAAAAATAATAATAATAATAACCGTGGCATCCATCTTAATTTTAAAGGGACAGTCAGTACATTTTAAAAGAAAAGCAGTATGGATTTCTGTACTCCAAATTAAATTACCCTGTTCAGGCATACTGATGTCGGCACTTGATGCATTTTCTACATATCTTTCTCCTAATTGTAACCACGTAAATCTATTATGACTAAAGATATCTAACTGCATTATTTAATTATTTGTAACTAACTGCGTACCCTTAAAAGTTATCTCTGTATCGTAAGCTATCACTTTCCCTTAATCTTTATTGTAGGTGCAAGATACAACACAAATATATAAAAATTAATATAAAACTTTATTTTTTGCAACTAGTGAGACTGAAATAGTAAAAACAGTCCATCAACTGGTGCTTCAATGGGTTATTGGAACTTTATATTAAATACTGTGTATTAACTGGTTTGCAACTGCAGGAAATCTACACGACACTATAACTTTCACGTTGCACAGAAAGTTTCAGTTCTGCAGCTCTGTTATGATCAGTGGCTGTGTGTCTCTAAGCAAGCAGCCAAAGGCAACAACCAAGCATCTGTTATGAGTCATTTTGATTATTATTTTACTTCTCAATTTAACTTAATGCGGACATAAAATCTGCATAAATTTTGGATTAAGTGAAGTACATGATGAAATGATGCATAAAAGAATCATTATAAAACTAATTGTTAGTACAATTTAAGTTAATAGTCACAAATCTTCTTTAAAATATGTAGGACTTTTATAAGTGTAAAATATAAATGTTTTAAGAAATTTTATAATATGATGCAATTACATGAAAAAATTATGAAGTTGATTTTATTTTTGAATTTGTTTTGTAATTAAAGTTAAATAGGTTTAATAAATAATACAATCTACTTGCAGATTTATTTTGTTTCATTGATGGTCCTTAAAAGTACTTAATTTACACATGCAGAAATGTGTGTACGAACACTGTTAATACATGAAAAACAACTTTTCCTTTTTTGGAATCTGAATTCTTTTGTTAGGTGTCACAAAAATTGTCTATAGTTTTTATATATATATAGAGAGAGAGAGGGAGAGAATTTGAGAATTTTAGGTCGTTTTATAACATTTTATACTCTCATTTTAAAGTATTCCATTCATTTTGGCAATTTATGAATGCTTTGATTCTGAAAAATAAGCAAGATAAAAAATATTACAAATCACAGTTTTCAAATTACATCTAGAAAAAGCAGAAAAGCTGCTGTAAATCTTTTTAAAATTAATTTTATTTATAACATGTAGAAAGCATCGTTAGATTGATGTAGAATTTAAGTTGGAAATGGATTTATTAAAATCTTCAGTTCTTTTAACCAAGTTCCTGGAGTTCCAGAATTATTATAGCTTGCTTTAGCAAAAAGAAAAGGTAAGAGTGGGAGTGTTATTTGCTTAAGAATTTATTAAGAATGTGGCAGCAGGATTTTTGACTTGTAAAGAAAAATTGCCTCTGGAAGCAGGGCCCTCAGTCTCTCTCCTTTTGTGTGGAATGGCGTCACCTTCCATATTTAAGTATTTACCAACTTATTCCCTTATTTTGCTATGCAATATTTGGGAGTTTTTAGTAATAGTCACAAATTAGTCAGATTTAAATATTTGCCTTTTAATGTTCCCCTCTGTCTCTTTGGGGGGGGGTTAATAAAGTTGACAATTGTGACAAAGAGTTATATGTTGTGACAGTTTTTCTCTATGAGCTATTTGTGAAGAGTCTGTTAAACTGAATTTGCTTGGCTGTAACCATGTGAAAAAAGTTCAACGGAGTGTTTTGCTAATATTCTCCCACTTTGTGTGAAGTAAAAGAAAGTTTCAGAGTTCTGCAGTCCAATTCTGCTTCATTGAGGAAAAGGTGAGGCCCATTATAAAATAAGAATGAAATTCTTAGTTTCCAACCAAACAAAAGACTTGGATATTTTTCTTAGGCATACTTAAATTTTATTTTGCACGAGTTCTTGATAAATTATTGGTTCAGAGGATTTAAATAAGTGATTAGCTAGTGCTAGAATTTAATTTCCTAAATGAACGAGTAGAAAATTGGGGGCATTTTACCAGTGTGTCTTTGGAGATAATAAGGAGAATGTCAGGTTTGTTGATTTTATATGATTTTGGCTTGCTCAGTTAGGCCATTCTAGCAGCCATGCATGCTGTGAGATCCTCTCAGGAAATCCCTAAAAGTTTTCAAAAGTACTTCAACTGCGGCTAGAGAGAATGTGGCAGCAGGATTTTTGACTTGTAAAGAAAAATTGCCTCTGGAAGCAGGGCCCTCAGTCTCTCTCCTTTTGTGTGGAATGGCGTCACCTTCCATATTTAAGTATTTACCAACTTATTCCCTTATTTTGCTATGCAATATTTGGGAGTTTTTAGTAATAGTCACAAATTAGTCAGATTTAAATATTTGCCTTTTAACGAAATTATATTAAATTTTGTCATAGAAAGCTTACATTTTTTATGGTAATGGTATTTTCCTGTGCATTTATTTCAGAATGTTTAGATATGTATTAGGATTCTCCTTTAAAAAAAAAAAAAAAAAAAAAAAAAGCCTTTTTCCCCTCTGTCTCTTTGGGGGGGGGGTTAATAAAGTTGACAATTGTGACAAAGAGTTATATGTTGTGACAGTTTTTCTCTATGAGCTAAGATCTTGTACCTTGGAATGTTCTAGCAAGATTTAAAAACCTAATTAATGGCTAAAATCATGTGGAAAATTTGTTCACGGTATTAACATAGGAGAGGCATTTTATAGAAAAGATTGTGATGAATTTCTCTCACATTTTGGAGTTTTTTTTTTTTTTTTTTTTTTTTTTTTTTTTTTTTTTTTTTTTGAAAAACAGTGAAAATGGTTATTTGTTTTTTTCTGCTTTTCATCTTAGAAGGTTTTCTCTTAATATGCATATTTTACTTTTATTTTATCTTCTTTAGTTCTTTTCAGTAATCAAAAATGGGAAAACTTCAATGATTCTAATCTTGTCACACAGGGTAGCATCTGAGAAAAGAAACTTCTCAGTTAATAAAAATACTAAATGACAATTTAAAAGATTTTTCTTTCAGGTCGTCACACAGGGTAGCATCTGAGAAAAGAAACTTCTCAGTTAATAAAAATACTAAATGACAATTTAAAATATTTTTCTTTCAAGTCTTGGAAGAATTTCCTCAGTAATGAAAGTGATTTTTAAATAATAATACCAAAGACAGTATGTTATTAATAATAAACATATTATTTAAAAAAAATCTTTCCATTGAGCAAAAAGTCACAATGACCAGTGGTATAACCATAATGGGTGACTGTTGGCAGGTAGCACTTCTGATTGCATAGAATGATTAGTACATTTGTGAGGTTGCTTAATACTTACTGCATTTTTTTTAACTCAAAAAGGTAGTTGTTACAATTACGAGAAGCTTTTTACATATATATAATTGATGGATAGCATAGAACAATTATAGTAGTGAGATATAGTTCTCCTGACGTGAGGAACCTGCCAATGAAGCTCTCTCTAGTCAAGAGTTCACGATTGGCAGCTTGAATTAGCCATGTATCCTAAATTTTTTGTTTGTATTTTATATCCTCTGATTCATATCTGGAACGAAATCAGAGGGAAGACAAGATAGTTGGTTCATCAGCCCTCCTGAAATCAATATGCAGAATGCTAAAATCTCTTGACACTGGTCGGAAAGGTAACTGGTGGCAAGTAAAGCTTCTGACTCTGGATAGTGATTAATATATTTCTGAGGTTGTATAAAACTTACTGCATTTTTTGAACTCAAAAATGTATTTATTACAATTATGAGAAGTTTTTTACATATATATATAATTCATGGCTAGCATTAAACAATTATAGTAGTGAAGTATAGTCCTCGTCACATGAGGAATCTGCTAATGAGGATCTCTCTAGTTGAGTTCAAGAATATTCTGATGTGTTGTTCCGATGGAAAAAATCGCAGACTGAATTAGCCACACCTCCGAAATTTTGCAGTTGTAATTTATATCCTCTGATTTGTTATGTCTGGTACGATATTAAAGGAAAAACAAGGTCATTGCTTCGTCAGTCCTCCTGAAATCGAGAGGCTTTGACGACAGACATAGTGCAGAACATTAAAGTCTCTCGACACTGGTCGAGACTTTGACTGGTGGCAAGTAACACCTCTGACTCTGTATAATGATTAACGATTAACCCATTAGCCGCTGGTGTTGCATTGACGCAACGGTCAAAATAAATGGGTATATAAATATAACTACCTAAGATATTTTATACCAGCAGATGATTTTGTGTAAGGAATATTATAAAGATTATTTCTGTAAAAAAATATTTGCCTTCAACAATCATTTTGTTTATAATAATTAATCTCATATTTTAAGCAAAATTTTCGACCGTGTATTTTTGCTGAAAATATTTAATGAAAGAATCACCATCTTTATGAGTGATCTATTTTTAGTCAAAGTCACCGTTTATCAGAACATTACATCAATCAGATGTTTATATTTGTGTTGGGAAGGAAGGGAAAACAGGTGTTGCGCTGACGCAACATCAGCAGAAAATGGGTAGTCAATCTCCTTTTTCACTCATTCCTTTCGATGTTCTGGTTCATGTTCTGGTTATTTAAAAATGCCTAGAACGAGATATCATACATTAAAAGATTTTTTGGATGAAGAAACAGATGATAATAATGTTAATAATGACCAGAATGAATTTGATATTGTTGTTGTTCCCCCAGAAATTGCAGAAACTAGTGACAAAGAAGAAAGGAATGGCAATGTTTTAAATAATGATAATGAGAGTTTACCAAATGATACTGCTGGGGAAGTTGAAATTCATGTAAGAAGTATGTTTCAGCCTTCTAAAAGCAGTTATAGTCATACTAAAAGTTTAAAAAGCAGAAGACTGAAATCATGAAGTGGATAAAAAAGGAACTGCTAGTTATGTCTCAGGATGAACATGAAGAAAGAGATAGAAGATAAATTATAAAAGACAAAATACAAGGTAAAACTAGTGCACAGATTTTCGATTTTCTTTTTGGTTTAGACAGTTACTCTCTTCTCGTTGAGCAGACAAATACGCCCAGCAAAAAAAAAAAAAAAAAAAAAAAAAGCATCTGAAGCCTATATGAGAAGATTTATTGGAATATTATTGCTTACAGGATATCATTCTTTACCTCAAGAAAAAAATTTATTGGTCTTTTGATAAGGAAATTTCTGTTCCTGTTGTACGAGAATCGATATCATGTTTGCAGTGCAGGAATATGAAGCAGAATTTGCATTTGACAATAGTCAAATTGACAATACTGATAAATTATATGAGGTGAGACCGTATCTAAATTTACTAAATATCACAACTTTTTACTACTGGAAGTCTCTTCTAGATTTCAGACACAAGAATGCATTATTCCTTTTGCAAACTCCTATTGAGATTGTAGAATTAGCCAGAAATAGATCGGCAACAGGAAGACCTAGTAAATTCAGCATTCAAAAGCCATTGCATGGAGATGGTAGACATTTTATTGTAAAGTCCGTTGATAACAAAAGACTTTGTTGTTAAGAGTATCATAGCCAGACTGTTTACAGGTGCAAAGTATGTAATGTAGCTGTAAAAGAAATACAATGTATATTTTAATATTAAATTAATTACAAGTACAGTGATTTGTAGATTTATAAAACGTTATACAGCTAAAAAGTAATCATGCGCTCCGCTCAAAAGAAACATCACACGAGTACAATGCTACTCACTAAAACACCTGTAGTCTTATTCCACTGACGTTGCGCGAACGCAACACTCGCTTTTTCCAGAAGTAAAAGCTTTTTTTTTTATTTTCAATGTAAATGTGTGTTATAAATGCTTAATTTAATATTTGTTATTATTTTCATGAGAAAAGAAACATTCCTTGTAGTTTTGGCGGTTAATGGGTTAACACATTTGTGAGGTTGCGTAATACTTACTGCATTTTTTTAAACTCAAAAACATGTTTATTACAATTACGAGAAGCTCTTAATATATATACACTCTTCGACATTAAAAAAAAAAAAAAAAAGACACACTGAGAAGCTATAAAGCAAATTGGACACAAATTGATATGCATACAGGCTTCGACGGAAAATGCAAAATTTTACATTTTGGCTGCTAATGAACGAACGGTTGTCGCTACTGCGCAACTGGCAGAATAGTTAAGAGGAGAAATTATGATTCCAGGTCATAAGTTTTTCATGAATTTCATTCCGTGTACTCTGGTAGACGGTAACTATGCCTCACATACAGGTGCGCAAACGATATGCTCAGATGTCAGAATTTAAGAGAGGTCGTGTAGTTGGGCTTAAAGAAGCCGTTTGCTCTTATTGGTGATAGCTCAACATTTGAGCAGGAGCGATGCCACTGTTAAACAATGTTGGCAGAAATGGGTGAACCATGGCCGTACACAACGACAAGAAGGAAGCGGTAGGCTTGGAAAAATGACAGAACGTGAAGACCGAACAATCATCAGAGTGGTACTCGCAGCCCGAGATGCATCATTGTCATCGATTGTACGTGCAACTAGTGCTTCAGTGACTGCAAGGACTATTCCTAGAGGCTCGCAGAAAGGGGACTAAGGTCACGGCGCCACATGTGTCGACTATCATTGACCTCTGTACAACATCAAACCCGTTTGTAGTGGTGTCGGGCTCATTCGCACTGGAATGTCACTGACTGGAGTAGAATAGTCTTCAGTGATGAATCCTGCTTTGAACTGAGCCCAGGAAAGGTGAGTGCAGCGGTGTGATACCAACCTGACAGTCTTCCGGCAGACAGGCCGGACAACCAGGAGTGACATGAGTTGTTTTGAAAAACACAAGGACAACATGAATTGTTTTGAAAAAAACGAAAAATTAAATTTTTCTTCGGAAACAAAGGATCAAAAAGTTATTAATGCAGAATGTCTGTTCTCTGCCTTTTTACTGGAGCACAACCTGCCACTGAATGCATTGTATCACGCTGCAGCTTTATTTAGAAAAATGTTTCCCGATAGGGAAATCGCTTAGAAATATTTAAGTGCAAGGACCAAAACAGGTGCAATTGTTAAAGAAATGGGTTTGAAAAATAAATCTTCAGTTATTGATTGCATTAAAACAGCTCCGTTCTGCTTCTCTACGGATGGAAGCAATAATACCGATTCAAAACTGTATCCAATTTTGGTTTCTTTTTTTAATCCAGAGTCTTCAGAAATTGAGTGCAGTTTCTTTCTGTCCCCATTTTAGAAGGACATTCGACAGGCTTTAATATAGCACAGCTAATTATTAAAACTTTAAAAGAAAATGCAGTCCCTCTGGATAATTTGGTGCCAATAATACACCAGTAATGGTAGGCTTGAAGACTGGTGTTGCAGGCATCTTAAGAAAGGAAAATTCAGATTTGCAGATTATGAGGTATACCTGTCACCTCTTAAATTTAGCAGCTGAAAGAGGGACAGCTTCTTCACCAGTAAATGTGGATGAACTGTTGATATTTATTTGTGTACTTTTTGAACAGATTTCCTGTGTTACTTCATTTAGTCATGAAAGATGATGATATTGATGTTGCCATTGATAATATTGCAGTCACAATTTTGCAGTTTACAATTAGAAAACTTGGATGAAGTTATAAAAATCATCTAGGATTGGCAACCAGTGGAATTTAATTGGAAAACTGAAAGGTGCTAATATACTCTATACTGTTACGTTGGCCGTCTTGACAGTTCCCCATAGTAATGCAGAGTGTGAGAGGATATTCAGTGTTGTTGCGAAAACGAGGACTAAATTTACATCTAATATTAGTGATGACACATTAGAAAAATTTTATTAGTGAAAGCAAGCCTGTGTGACAATTGCTCTGAACAAAATTATGAAGTTTCTTTCTTAACAAAAGCAAAATCTGGCACTGCTCATAACATTTGTATGAAAACTGATTAAAGTGGGTTTTTTCCCTCCCCCTCCCTTAAACAATGCAAATAATAAAAATGTTTTTTATGTGTAAGGTATTTTTGTGTTGCTTGCATTTAAAAATTAGTAACTATTTTAAAGATAATTCATTATTAAAAACTATATTTTTGTCATTTAAAATGTCTTTTTAACATTGTGAAAAATCTCCTGATTTCTTTAAAAAAACCTTCTGATTTTTGAGTGTCATGGGTTGGCAAGTATGCTATCTTCTTATTCATTATATCTGGAACAATATCAGAGAATAAACAATATTATTGGTTTGTCAGCCCTCCTGAAATCAAGAGGCTTTGGCAACAGACGCAGTGCAGAACACAAATCTCTTGACACTGGTCATGAAGTTGTATCCTGTGTACTGTGAACTGGAACGAATTATTGCGTTTGAGATGGCAGACCATGACTTTTGACATGTCGTAAGAGCTTGAAAACAGGGACTTGTGGGACCGCACATACGATTTTTTCATTTCTGTATGGTCCGCCACATCATAAATGCATTACATTTCCATGATTAAATAACAGGAGGAAACAACTGTGTATGAATTTTGAAAAGTATTTGTACATTTTGATTTTCTAAGAGTATAAGCAAGATGCTCATAAATTTTTCAACCATTTCTCAAAATGTATAAAAGTTGCATCATTCAGCAACAACCGAAGTGCAAAGCTCAGTCACTATATATTATTACATAAAGTTTTCTGGAGTTATAGTCAGTATTGATAAAGAAATAAAATAAGCAATTTCTTATGTGCGTTTAAAATATACACAGCTTATTGGAACAGCAGCAATCTTAACTAAATCCCAAAAGTGTACAATAAAGAGGAAACTTAAGGAAGAAATTGATTATAGAATTGTATATCATGTATATATAATTTGTTAAATAATGTAAAGGAATTTATGGAAGATTTAAAGTAAGCAAATGGGTATAACGTAGCTAAAATATCTGGAAAAATTTCAAATATAAAAAAAGATATGTTATATATGTTTTGAGGTTTATATGAGTTCTAATTCTAATATTTTTTAAACCATTGGAATAAGTTATATATATAGTTATTTGTTAGTTTAAACTGTAAAATTTTCTTAGATTGGGATTTTTATTATAATAATTTTTAATATTTTTAATGAATATTTTAAAATAAAAGAATTTTTTAATAGTGACCACGTAAATCTTTTTTAAAATAGGCGTTACTGTTATAAGTGTAAAATATTAATGTATCAAAAAATCGTACAATTTTTTAGATAGTTTTCCCCTCAAATTAGTTTTACTGTTATGTTAAATATTAGATTATGTTTATTAATAAAAATGCATCCTATATCTACTTCTGTTTTATTCTTAGAATGGTATTACAAGAATGAAGTTGCTGACATTGATTAAATTATGTTAATTTATTCAAATTTTGTTTGATGATAGGTCCTTAATTATTTTTCATTTGTGGTCCTTAAAAGTATATACAGAAGGTGTATAAACCCTGCTGAAGTATTGTCTTTGTAAATTTTAGTGTTAATTTCTTTACTAACATATAAAATTTTTATTGTTCATATTTTTTAAGTAATTAATCTATTGAAAGGTAGAGCGTTTTATTTATTTATGTGATAATATAATAAACAGAAAAAGAACTTGGCAAAATCAGTATAGTTTTAATTAATGTTTTTTGCAGAAATTTGTTTGTCAAGTTAAAAAAAAAAAAATTAATATCCAATCTATGTTTTAGGCTCTTCACTACTTACTTCTAATATCTGAAGTTGAAGAGGTGGAAATATTCAAAATCTGTCTTGAATATTGGAATGCACTATCTGCAGATTTGTACAGAGAAAGCCCTTATAGTGGTGTTTCAACAGAGACCTTCTCTCAAGGTCCAAATTCAGTCGTACCATTAAGGAGGCAACTGTATCAACCTGTATTGACAAAGGTATTGTTTTTGTCGTTGTTTTAAAACTTTTAAGTTTTTCATATTATCATTTTCAAAGCCTGCAAGAAACAAAATGCATCATAATGCAACGTTTTTATTTTCTACATAAAGCAAAAGTCAAGTTTTCAGCTGTATTTTAGTACTTACATGCAAATAATCAAACAAAAGGGTCTGGAATATAGTAGTATGCAAAACTGTGTATGTAGACTAGTGTTTTTTAAAATGCATAGACTCCAACTACTACGGATTCTCCGTAGTTTCTACAGAAATCCATGAAAAACTACGAGCTACGAAAAGTATGGAAAAAACTACGGATTTTACAGAAACAAGAGCAGGAGAACCAGTACGCAAAACGGAACCAACTAATTCATCCGATGATTGGCTTAATACTCGTGTTATCATATATCACGTGTTGAGTGCGTTCCTAGTTTTGAAGAATTAGCCAATCGTAGATCAGTAACTCCAACCGTTAACGACTTATCAATAGTTCCACCCAATTGTCTGTCTCCCAGGTTCCTCGCTGATGCGTGTTTAGGCTGCATTCGGCTGCATTGTGTAGTTTACGGCGAGAGCTTAGCGTGTGTCTTGTGAACTGTGAATCAGGTGAAAGATTTTTAATCATAATGCTGCCTCGAACGAAGAAGCCAAAATTATCAAAGCAGAAGTTTAAAGATTCATATTCTTCAGAATTTCCATGCATTAAAGCGTCCGAAATTTCTGTGAATCACGCACACTGCAGTGTATGCAACAAAGACTTCTCAGTTGCTCATGGCGGAAAAGATGACTGTAAACGGAATGTGTGTTTTCTCAAAAGCATATAGAACTTGGCACCGTAAAATCTAAAGAAATAACAAATTTCTTAATAAAAGATGATGAAACAGATCCTATAAAAGCCGAATGCTATTTTGTTCGTTTTTTAATTGAACATAATCTACCGCTTTCTGTTTCGGATCATTCCAAAGAGCTTTTCAAAGCAATGTTTCTGGATTCTGCCATAGCAAAAAAATTTAGCTGCGGTCATACCAAAACTGCTGCTATTGTGAAAACGCTTGCAGAAAATACTGTTGCTGATATTATAAAATCAGTGTGCAGTACATCATTTTCTCTAAGTACTGATGGAAGTAATGGTAACAATGATAACAAACTGTACCCATTGGTTATAACATACTACAGTAAAGAAAAGGGAGTGATAATTACTTCATTGATTTCTATTTTAGAATGCACGAATAATACAGGAGAAGGTATTTTTAATTGTATAAATGAAAACTTTAAAAACAAAGGTTTAGAATGGAAAAATTGCTTATCATTTTCTTCAGATAATGCTAGTAATATGATTGGAAAGTTTAAAGGTGTAGCATCATTTATCAAAATGCATCAACCAAGTATAATCACCCGAGGTTGTCCGTGCCACCTCTTGCATATAGCTGCAAAAAAAGCTACTGAAAAATTAATTGGCTCAGAAATTGAAATGTTGATAATAGATATATATTTTTACTTGGAGAAAAGTTCGAAACGGAAGCATAGCTTCAAAGTTGCTCAACAAATTTTGGGACAGAATGCAAGATCTCATAAAATTTTGAAATATTGCAGTACGAGATGGTTGTCTCTTTTAGAATCTATAACAAGGATTTTGGAACAGTGGGATGCTGTGATAAATTTTTTTGGAGATAAACCAGATAACAGTGAGAATGAAGGAAAGAGATTGCAAAACATTTTTTAAAAAAATTTACAGTCACCGACCACCAAATTGTACTTGTTATTTTTGAAAAAACAGTAAATATTAATTTGCAACTTTGTTTATAACAGTAAATATTAATTTGCAACAACAAGCTCCTTATATACATAAATTGAGAAGAGAACTTTTTGAACTTTTAATGAATTTATTTGTTAGATTCGTAAAACCATCAGTAATTTCTAAAGAAAATGAAGATGTTACTCTAACGTCTATTCCATTTCAGAAGTATAGTAAACAAAAAGAAAATGAAAATTTAGTGATTGGTGCAGAGAACAAGACTATATTTAAAAAAATGCCAAGTTGAATGAAAGTGAAGTGAAATCATTTTTCAATTCTGTGCGAGCTTTTTTTGTAACTGCATGTTCATATATAATTGATAAATTTCCACTGAGTGATCCATTTCTAAAACATGCTGAAGTTGCTGACATCAACTTGAGAACTGAAAGTCTCATTTTCATCTGTTCTTTACTTGATGAATACTTTTCCATCCATTATTGATGAAAAATGTCTTAATCAAGTAGAAATTGAATTTTCCATGTATCAAGTAGATGATTTGAAAGAAATTGTAGATTTGCGTATTGATATAGCATGGGGAGAAATTGCCAAATTAAAAAATATGAATGGGTGTATTAAATACAAAGTATTGCCTTCTGTAATGCTTGCTGTCTTAATAATACCTCATTCAAATGCAGCTTGCGAAAGAATTTTTTCTATTGTTAAAAAAAATCAGACGGAATTTCGACCAAATTTAGGTCTTAAAACTCTTGAAGCAGTTTTGATTGAAAAAATAAATATGCAGGCAAATGAAGAACTGTGTTATAAAAAAACATTCTCAAAATCAGAACTTAAGCTTGCTAAGCATGCTACATATAAATCTTTGCATTCATAAATTATGCGTATTTTGTTTAATACTTATATGTATCATTCTTGGTTATTTAAATTTTATTTCCCTGTAGAAATCATATCCAGAATAAAGATATGATTTATAGCTTCTGATTTTTTCTATGATTAGTAGTGATTTGAAGTACTTTTTATTAGTGAATGCTTGAGGAGTTAAAAGAAAATTTCTAATTAAATGTGCATATAATTTACAAGGTATATTTTTAATTATTCAGTTTTATATGTATATGGATTTTAAATGTAATAAAATTGATTACAATTAATTATTAATTTAAAATTAATGAATGGTTAATTACAACATACGCTACGCGCACATTTTCAAAGTTGTAAAAATGTCGTTCGCGCGTTCACTACTGACAAGGTTTGCTGAAGGTTGGAGTCTATGAAAATGTATTCCATGGAACTCGTTAGGGGTCATTCAAGTCAAAATTTGAAAGAATTTTTTATTGCTATGTAGACTTTAAAACTAAACATCTGAAAAAATTTTATATTATTTATTTCCATTGTTACTGCTTTCTAAAATAATGTGAAGTACCCTATTTTTTTAGTGTAATGAAAAATTTTTTCCTCATTTTTCCATATAAAATATACATAGTATTGATTCTCCTACACTTATTTTCTGGAGGATGTTGATGGTTTTAGTTATATTTTTATGGATTTCATGAAGTTTGAAGATTACTGTTTAAAACTATAAGCTGTTATTGTATTAAGTAGTTAATGCACTTTTATGATAATTACATAGCTAACCACATAAATAAAAATTTTAAATTGTCTCAATACGTTGCAGTTAAGGTACACTATGATTGGAAGAATGGCCAAACCAGAAGAAGTTCTTGTTGTGGAGAATGAGCAAGGAGAAGTTGTTCGTGAATTCATGAAAGATACTGATTCCATACAGTTGTATAAAAACATGAGGGAAACATTAGGTAAGTTGCAAAGTAGAGTTATTTTTATATGCTTTTAGCACATGCTCCAGTTTTGATGAATCCTTCATTTGCTATAAATTTTTAAAACTTTTTTTAAAGTTATTATTCTAAAGGCTGAAAGTAAAAATAAAAATGCAGCTAGTATGGTATTCAGAAACATAGCACTGCATAGTAATAAATGTAATAATATTTAATAATTTACTGATTTTAATACTTGTTTTAAATTACAATATATATATATATATATTCAGGAAAAGATGTTCAGAAATAATGAAAAATTTGAATTTTGAAACTTTATAACTTATGGTTTAATTTTGCATAATTGATCATTTCAGTGGTAAATAATAGTTTAAAATTCAGTAAATTTAAGAAATTTCCAGAAATATGTTGTAAAAAAATTTGTTAGATTACTGTTTCCCAATTACCATATTAAAACCTCATCTTTTATAGTTTACCTTACCCATTTGGATTATGGTGATACTGAGAGAATAATGACTGAAAAGCTCCATAATCAAGTGAATGGTACTGAATGGTCTTGGAAAAATCTAAATACAGTAAGTTAATGCTGAACTTATATTAACTGTTATTTTAAATTTCTAATTAGCTGCAGTTATATGGAGTTGAGTAACTGCTTCAATTTTATGTGCTAGGATTTATAAAAGCTCAAGTATATACTTTTTTAAAAAATTTGTTAACAATGCTTTCTTTTTTAGCCCCAAGGGCTATTAATTTCTATTTGGCATTTTGTGTTGATGCACTATAAATGGCGAATCACTTTTTAAGTTGTTGCCACCAAATATTCTGATAAAATAGCTGTACCTAGACCATCAAATTTTGAATAATGTGCGTCTCCATGTGAATGTGGGCATGTAGAAGCCCAAATTTGGAACTTGTTTTATTATATATTTCATATTTTATAAAGCATTTGTCAACAATTTTAAAGCGAGCAATGGCAACACTGTACCCGGGGGGGGGGTATTTTTATCTCCAGTGCACAAGACTGTGTATCGGAAATTCTAAAGATTTTTTTTAAAAATTTTTTATGTAGTATCTAAATATTTTCTAAATATGAAATTATATTTTTAAGTATATATTTATTTTAAAAATTGTGAATTAGTACTTTTTGTTTCTTTTGTTTTTTATTTCTTATTGGTTTATATGGATTATGTATAGTTCTTTTATAGTTTCTTTTTATTGATATGCATATTCGTGTAGGGGAAGTTTCTGTAGACAAGGATTTCTAAAATACATTGGTTTCTAGATTTTTTTTATTATTTTATAAAAAATTAATTTTTAAAAAATTAAATTTTTTAAGAAAAAGTTTAATTCTTGACTTTACTTGTTTCTCAAAAGACTTAATTAGTATATTCCTTTTTGAACTTTAATACTTAAATGTTAATTTCTAAGGGTACCACTTTATTGGAATTACTTTTGGTTTTGACTTTTACCCTTGCCTGCATGAATGACGAAACACAAATTGAATGATTGGAGAGTTAGGTTTGGAGGCAACTTCCCCTTGATAAGTCTGTCTCCTGCCTACTCTACGATCATTCACATATGCATTTTTTAAAAAAATTGTTTAATTTAATTTTAATTTATTAAATTAGTAGATTTATTTTTATGGAATAGATTTTACACTTGATTTGCTTATGTTTCTGAATTTAAATGATATTGTAGATTAGTTCGAGAATTAAATCTTTTACATGTTTGCATATTTTTAAATTATTTTGGCTTTTTTCCTTTTTTTAGAATTTAAATTTCATTCCTTGCAGCAATGGCGCCAAGAATCTTTAATTAAATATGTATTTAAATTTAATTTTTTTAATTAAACTCAATTAAATTCTAAAGATATGCTCTTTTAAGTATTTTGTGATATTGCTGTTGAAATGAATTTTATGGTTTGAGTGCAAAAAACATGATATTTAATGTTAACAAAAAAATGTTAACACAAAACGCTAAAAAAAGTGCCCTTTGGTCATGTAAAATCTGAAAGTTCTCGGATTTTTAGACCCCCTTTTTTGTGTATTGCTTTATATTCTTTTTACATATATTTGCTGCCCTCTGAGAGCATACTCATAGCTGGCAAACTGAGATTACTTCCCAGTTACGAGATAACTTGCTATTGATCGCCCGACTCAAGTGACCAAGTAATAATACAATGTTTAGGTGTTTGGCATTCAGGAAGAGGCTAAGTGGGATCTTGGTGCTGAAATGAATAATTTATTTGTTAGAAAAATGCTAAATATTGGGTCATATATAAAGGCTCCACGTTTTTTTGCCACTAGATGGTGTTGATGCCTATCCGGCAACACTCACCTGATTGTCTGAAACAAACATGTGCTTAAAAGGTGACATTCAGCTTCCATTGCTTGTGAAAATAGTTTTCTAATTCGTTGCTTATGTAAAAAGTTATATTGATTTGAAAATGAGTGAAATGTCTGAAGAAATACATTATGTGAAGCTTTTTTTAGTATAAAAAAGGAAAAATTCTGCAAAAACATGTTAAAAAATTTGTGAAGTGTATGGTGAGAATGCTGCGAGTGAACGAAGGACCCAGGAGTGGTTTGCTCAATTTGATTCCGGAAATTTTTATATCAGAGATAGAGATACATCTCACTCTGGTCAGCCAGTCGCTGAAAAAGTCTATGGAATTTTGCAACTGGTGGAGCAAAGACCAGCACACAAGCTGTCAGGAAATAGCAGATGCACTAAACATCAGTGACATATGACAGTTTGAAATCATTTGCAAAGAGCAGGTTACAAAAAAAAAAAAAAAAAAAAAAACTCAGTGTTTGAGTGCCACTTAAATTGCAACCTGGCGAAACCATGAATTCAGCCCTATGCTGTGTACAGCTTGACCGTTTGATCGAAACAATACGGAAAGAGAGACCAGAATTCGCCAAAAGAAAGGGAGTTGTGTCCCATCATGATACGCCACGCACATCTTTGATGACTCGGATCAAATTGACGGAACTTGGTTAGGAAGTTTTGATGCATCCACCATATAGCCCAAACCTTGCACTGTCTGACTACCATTTTCTTAGGTCTCTGATAAACTGTCTTGATAATAAAAAATTGGCTGACCCAAGAGCTGCTGAAAATCACATGTCCAAGTTTTTCAACGATAAACTGCAGAAGTTCTACACCAATGGAATTATGAAGCTACCCAAAAAAATGACAAAAGATCAAAGATAAAATAATTGTCAGTATTGTACTTGATTAGAATTGATTTTCAATAAGAACATTTTTGTTCAAAAATGTACCAAAAAAAGCGTGGAGATTGTATGACTCAATATTTAGAATGCAATTGCCAAGCAGTGTTACTTCCCCTTTGAGCCGAAAGAACTAAATAATGGTCTCCCGCTGCTCGAGCATGTCTTCTAGATACAAAATCCTTGGATTCAAACTGATTCCATAGTTGGTGCACTGCACTATGAGAGACATTGAGATGGCTAGCAGCATCAGTTTCTGACATCCCCGTTTCCATCCATCCGATCGCCCTCCACATCAATGACTCAAGCAAACCACTTCTCCTGGATATTTTCCACGAAACTGTAATAACAACTGAAGATCGGCATTCATAAACAAAAATTATATAATTTTTTCATTTTTTCTTCAATTTCTCCATTTCCCAAGTATTCATTTCAGTAAAATAAAAGTGATAGCTATTGTTTTTCATATATTTTCTTAAACTTCGTTACTGTCATGCATAGCAACTGTGAATTTAAACTTGAAATTAAACTGACATTTTTGTAATGGTTAGTTGTATTATAAGCATGCTTCTAAAATTTCTTGTTTATTTTAAGACAATAGAAAATAACATTGTACGTGAGGAGTTTGGTGGGTAATGTGCAGAAAGTGTGAGTATTGTTAATGTACATCAGAGTTATCTCACAGTTACGTCGGGGAGCAAAAATATTATTTCATAAGCCAGCTATGAGTATACCCATGTGAATTAAGTTACTAGTAAAAGTAAAGTTAAATATATATTTAAATAATAATAATAGTAATAAAATATTTAAAAGGTTAAAATCACTGGCTATATTTTGCCATGTCTGAACAGACAGACTTAAGCGCCCCGTTTACAAGCGCAGATTTGACCGGTAGCGAAAACCGGTTCTTCCAATGTGTCCTATTCGCACAATAAACAAGTATTAACTGCTTCTCGGAATTGGAAGTAGAATTTAGTAGAATGTTCCTACCTCTCTGGAGCAGGGCAAATGGGGAAATTATTGATACTGCATTGCTCGATTGTGCCATTCACTTAATTTTGACAAACAACATGGATGACGTACAACTGACTGTTTGCTGGACTGTCAGTGAAACAATCGTGTTGATCTGGGGATGCAATATCATCCAAAAATATTAGATGAAACTATTCAAAATATGGAAATTTGTAAACAAGTATAGATAAGGTTATCTGATGCTGTGTATTCTAGAAATTAAAATTAAAGAAGTGCATATCAGCTTCAACGCAACAAAGGGACTCGTTACCTTTTTAAGAACTTTATATTATATTTATTTCAAAACTTTTTTATTAAGAATTCCTATTTTTTATGAATATTATTAAATGGTTTTGTAAGACAAAATAATTTTAAACTGGGGAAAAAAAAAAAAATCCAGTAATATTTTTTAATTAAAATTTTTGGATGAAAAGGTTAACAATGTTTTAATTGTTAATTTTTTAATTGTCATTTTTCTCCTGCAATACAATTTTCATTGATTTTCCCCCCAAATTTTCTTATTGTATTTATTATTATGTTCTTAATAACTTTAAGGATAAATTTTGCAATTAAGGAATTAGTTTCTGAGGGGGGGAAAAAATCATTTTTATGTAAAAACGTTGAAACAAATATAATCTCAATCACATTTTCACTTCAAATAATTTTTCTTTTCAGTATTTTGCAAAATCCATTCTTGTTTCTATAAAGTGTATAACGGCAAAAATATTAAATAATTTAGGACATATCTATGTAAGTTTTAGAACTTTAAATAATAGGATTTATCGAAAAAATGCAAACTGAGAAAACACAGTTTAAAAAATATAAACTGTGTAAATGATCATTAAGTCATTATAAATTTCTTGAACATTTTATTAAAGAATTTCATTACATATATAATATATATAAAATAAAGCCTAGTGCTATTCAAATGTTTAATGTAAACATAAATTACGAGCTTTCATTTAAAATGTTCGTAAAATGGATTCAAAACATTTTTTAACATATAAATTAATTAGAATATATTTTCTAAAACATTGATAATCAATATTAAAACATTTGTAATTAATATTAATAATGTTGATTTGTCATTTTTTCAAAAAGCAAAGTTTGAAATTTTAACAGCCACAAACCATTTTATTTAAAACCGCTCAGCATATGTGATTTCTTCTTTTAATCATTTGATCTCGTATATAAATTGGGTTTTAAGTTAATATAGGTAAATTTTCATTAATTAAAGAGTTAAACTCCAATGGCGTTCTATAGCAATAGTGAAACAAATGTCAAAAAAGATGTAAGCAAACTTTAGATATCTGCCAGTTTGATTCGCGTTTGTGACATCAATGTTTGCTCACAGTGGCTTATGGGTCAAGGGATGGAAGATGGATGTTCATCTGAACTGGTCCTGAAGGCGAAACTGCTTCATATCCCCATATATCCTTAATACAAACGGTGACTGTGCGAACGAGTGTTGCATGTGAACAAGGCTTTAAACAGCTTTGGCAGCAAACGTGTTAAATACATAATTTCCACTTTTATGTGCAGACCGGTGGCTTAGTCGTTAAGATCTCTAAACAGTGGGAGATTGACCTGAGTTCAACCTACCGCATATGTTTATGTGATTTTTTCTTTGTGTAATATAACAATGAGCCTACTTCCCCTAGAAAGTTCTTTGGAAAGGCATCTGTCCTATTAGACATATGGTCCTTATGTACTTATTCAAATAACTTGGTCTAATCTTTAAATTTTCATATGCATCTAAAATATTTTATGATAAAATCTATTTTTATATTTATAACATTTTCAGCCAGTGATTGAAGTGAGGAATCAAAAATGAGGTGCTTACGTATTATCCCATTCAACCATGAAAGTTATCTACTATCAAATATTGAAAGTTGGCAGCATTCTGATGAAACTGATGCCTCTTTTAATTTAATAAGCCATAAGTGTTTGGACCACTTTGTTTCTTGTGCTTCATAAAAATATTTCTGTGTATATTTACTATTTTTTAACGGCTTCTTTTTTGGGGGAAAGCTCTGGTCAGAATGCTGAGAGTACTGACTTCATGTAGGTAATTGTTCCAGTCTATTACTGTTCAGCTGACCACATCCTGTCAAGTAATATGTGCTCCTTTTAATGGTAGGATGGCATAACTTTGAAAATTATCCTTTGCTTGCCCTTCTGTGGAAGGAAGGTCCAAAATTTGAGGGGGGTGTCCAAAGGGGCTTTGTTCATGAAGGACTTCGTTTTGCGATTTTTGTGTTGAATCACTATAAACGGTGAATCTCTTTTCAAACTATTGCCACCAAATGTTAGAGTCCTGCATTATATTTGAAGAAATTAATGAAAAATCTACATAAATGTATGTATATTTCTCCCATTGTGATAAAACAAAGGTACATAAAGCCATCGAATTTTAAATGACGTAATCCTCCTACAAATATGGGAATTTGGAAGACCAAATTTGAAATTTGTTTTATTATCAATTTCTTATTTTGTAAAACATTAACAAATTTTTAGTAACAAACTCAACAACGTAAAAGTGAGCAATGGCAGCACTCTATGGGGGCGGACATTTTTTATCTCCAGCATGCGGAACTGTGTATCAGAAATTCTAAAGATATGCTCATTTTAAAATTATTTTGCAACATTGCTATTGAAATGAATTTTATGGTTTAAGTGCAAAGAACATGATATTTAATAAACAAAGGTAACACAAAACGTTAAAATAGGACGTAATTTAAAATCTAAAACTTTTTTTTTTTTTTTTGTTGTTGTTGTTTTTGTAAATGCGGAACAACAGTTAATTTATATCTTTGTTCATATGTTTTTGTAAATGCGGGAAAAAAACAATGGTTAATTTATATCTTTGTTCATAAAAACAAAAGGTGACTTATTTAGAATAAATCAAACTTTCATCAAATGAAAATGCAGATGTTATAAGTGTCTTGTTATGTCATACTTATCAATAGCTGGCACTAAATCATGCTGCTTAGAGACAATTATAGTTGACAGGATAAAGTGTCAGTATGGAAAATATTGGGTTGGCAACTAAGAATTGCGGATTTTTTTTAGAAAATCAAAGACAATTTTTTCATGGAACTAAATAACTTTATTCTGTAATGTATTGCCCATTTTGATCAATGACCTTTTGCCATCTTTCAGGCAGCATCATAATCCCACGTTCATAAAACTTCTGGTTCAAAAAACTGAATTCAGCAAAAAACTGAATCAGGTGCGATTTGACATCATCATTATTGAAATTTTTACCATTCAAGGAGATTTGTAAAGATCGAAACAAAAAGTAATCAGATAGTGCAAGGTCAGGACTATATGGTGGATGTGGCAAAACATCCCAACCAAGCTCCAATAAATTTTGCCGAGTGACCTAAGATGTGTGTGGCTTTGCATTGTCATGATGGAATACAACACCTTTTCGATTTGTCAATTCGGGCCGCTTTTCTTCAACTGCATTGTTTAATTTCGTTAGTTGTTCAATGTAGACATCAGAATTGATCGTTCGGTTGGGTGGTAAGTGTTCAAAGTAGATAATTCCTTTGTAATCCCACCAAACTGATAACAAAACCTTCTTTTGATGAATATCAGCTTTTGATGTTGTTTGAGTTGGTTCACCTGGCCTGCTCCACGATCTTTTCCGCTCGATATTGTTGTAAACAAAACCCATTTTTCATCGGCAGTTATCAGTCGTTTTAAAAATGGATCATTTTCATTACGTTTCTTTAGCAAATCGCAGCTGTTAATGCGTTGCGTTAAATGCGTTTCTTTCAGTTCGTGAGGAACCCATGTATCGAGTTTTTGAACATAGTCAAGTTGTTTTAAGTGATTTTCAATGGATATATGGGATACATGAAGCTTCTCTGCAATCTCACATGTTGTACTGTGACGATCCGAATCGATTATTGCTTTGATTAGGTCGTCATCAACTTCAACTGGACGACCAGAGCGTTTTTCAATCTTTGAGTGAAAAATCACCAGAATCGAAATTTGGCAAACCAATTTTGACACTGCCATTCTTTTAAGGCTTCGTCACATATAAACAGCACATAACTTTTATGAGCTTGCGATGCGTTTTTCCCTTTGCAGAAATAAAAAAGCAAAATATGACGAAAATGTTCCTTTTGATTTTCCATTTTTCAACGAATGCCAAACGAAAACTACGCAACCGATCAAAAAACTTTTTTTACTGATTGACAGCTGAATTGCCAACTATCAAATAACAAAATGTGTTTTACATTTGTACTACGTCTGCAACTCTAAAAATTCAACTGAAGCCATCTATGAGTGAAATCCGCAATTACTTAGTTGCCAACCCAATAGTATTATATATTTATGTATGCATGTCGTACATATTACATATATACAGGATTTAAAAATGATTTATTTGTAAATGCAGTGTTATTTATTAAAGATTATTGCAGCTTTTCATAGCTATTAAAATTTTTGTGTATGTGTGTACAGCTGATCCATAATTAGGAATTTGGGTATCAATACCCTCAGCAGTTGCTAATATGTTATCAACTTTATTAAGTTTTTCGAGTCAGAAGTTTGACTTCCTTTAAAACTTAATTATCCTGTTAAACATGTTTCTTATTTATAACTTAAATTTATAAATATTTTGGTTAATAATATTAAATAAAAATAAACTAACCAAGCATAATTTTAAATTCATGATAAAATAGGTTGAAGTAATGGACTATTCAATAAATATATGGGTTCTATTTTAAAATAAATATTCATGCAATGTGTTTTAAAGTATATTCATGATTCTGAATTCACACATAAATAAACTCTGTATATATAATTCTGTAGTTATGCTGGGCCATTGGATCTATAAGTGGAGCAATGCATGAAGAAGATGAGAAGAGATTTCTGGTCACTGTTATAAAGGTAATCATGTTTTTAATACCACTATTTTTAGGTAGCTGATATGCATTTTAAAAAATGTGCAGTTTTCTTATAGTGTTTTTCTAAAAGTTTTTAAACATTTTGCTAGTTCCCCCCCCCCCCCTCAATGAGTAAATGCTAATAAAAATTTTAAATTTTGTTATAGAAATTAGTGTTATATATTTATTAAATTTATATAAGATATTAAATGAATTAACCAGTTAATGATGTTTAATGACATTGAATATTTTGTGCTTTTAATACTGAAAGGTGTGTGTAATAATTTTTATTTTTAAATTGCATAAATTTGTCATTTTCAGGATTTACTAGGTTTATGCGAGCAAAAGCGTGGGAAGGACAACAAAGCTATAATTGCTTCTAACATCATGTATGTTGTGGGCCAGTATCCTCGTTTCTTAAGGGCGCATTGGAAATTTTTGAAGACTGTTGTGAATAAACTTTTTGAATTCATGCATGGTCAGTATTTTTTGTATATTTGAAGAACGTAACTTATTGTTAAAGCACGCATACCTTTTATTAAAAAATTTTATGTTAACATTGATAGAAACACATGATGGAGTTCAAGATATGGCCTGTGATACTTTTATTAAAATCTCTCAGAAATGTCGTCGACATTTTGTTCAGGTAAGTGCTATAAATGCAGTTGATTTAATTTTTTCTATGTAATTTCATTTTAGTGTGTAATAACCAATTATGGGCCTTAAATTTGAATAATTTTAAGTTATGATATTATGAATAATATTAAATAAATCTTAATGATGTAATAAATTTAATACTCATATCTTAGAGATTTAAATTTTGTATAGCAAAGCAATTTCTTAAAAGTAACATGATTCATTAAAATTTGAGGTTTTAAAAGTGGAGCATGATATTAAGTAGTAACTTATTTAAGGATATTGTGCTGTGAAGTGGTTAAACTATAAATTACTTGTAATAATGTAACCTCACACTTGCATACCTGTAAATGTTTTCTATTTAATGCATTCCCCCCCAGAAAAACTGAGTAACATTTATTATATTCAATTACATTATCTTAATTAACTGTTAATCATTTCATGTAAGGATTATTGGTTATTATTAATTGATAATTTTCTTTGTTTCAATAGATCAGTATACAATTAAATGTTTTTAACATTAACTAGGGGTTTAAAGTGATAATTATTTAATGCAAGCATTTTTAATGTGGGCCATAGTTTTGTATCCTCCCCCTTTGATGTAGTGTAGCTAATCTTGTATTTAGCATGTGGACTATTCTACCTTGTATTAATTTGGATTTTTAAATATAGGTTCAAGTTGGGGAAGTAATGCCTTTTATTGAGGAAATTCTGAATAATATCAACACAATTATTTGTGATCTACAGCCACAACAAGTAAATATCTTTTCAATTTATTTTATTTCTTAATAACTACTCTACATCTGCCTGTTTGTTTATTATAACTTTTCTTTTCAGGTTCATACATTTTATGAGGCTGTTGGTTTTATGATAGGTGCACAGACTGATCAAGCTGTGCAAGAACATCTAATTGAAAAATACATGTCACTTCCTAATGAGGTTTGGGATGCCATAATTCAGCAAGCAACAAAAGTAAGTGATTAAATTTGAATATGTAATACTATGGGCAATAGTATTAATGATGATTTATTTAAGTAAAAAAATCATTGAATACTTAATACAGTGTTGTACTAGGGTGCGAAGTCTGTTATTAATGTTACACTATTAATCATTATTAATAAATTACATTTATAATTATTTATAAATGTTAAGTGTAAAATAGTTAAGAGTTCAGAGTTTTAATAATTATTTTAATATTCACATTAAGTAATGTTTTGGGTTTTCTGTTTCAAAAGTATCATTTATGTTAAAAATGTTTTCAGGATGTACTGCATTTTTTAATTTCTTGCAACAAAAATCATTTTAGTCATTACAATTATTTGTATACTTCAATGTATTTTTGCTAATTCAGAAATATATTTTTGAGAAATTCCAAGATTATTCATGCATGCATTATAGAATACAAAATTTCCCAATCAGTTATGTTTTGAAATTAAATTTTTCATGTTTACTAAAATTTTAAGATTAGATAAATGCAAAATTTTGTTGAATCATTGAAAGTAAGTTTTATTAGAAAGAAATGCAAGATAATTTTGAATCTTGATAAAGGCATGTAAAATATTGTTACAAAATGTGCAGCTACGGTAAGATAGCTTCCCCGCAAGGTGGGTTTAGGGTTGCCAAAAAATGGCAGGAAAAGGCAGGATTGCCATATTTGGCACAAAACCACCCATTTGGCAATAACATTGGCAATATGTGTCTGACAGATGGAGAACCTTCTAGAACGAATTCTTACCGCTTTGGCCCAGAATGTTCTCGAAGGCAGGCCAAAAGCTATATAAAGCCTGCCTGTGCACGGAGTAGCAGTCTAGTGAGTTGATTATCATGTGTATCACGAGTTAGTGCATTGTTAAGGCTATCGAGTGTATCGTAGGTTGTAGCATGGAGAGTCTCGAGAGTACGTCGAGTAACAAGAACGATTGAACCAAGTCAGGAGCTGTAGTCTATAGTCTAGTGCTTTGCCGTGAAGCTGTCTTCACCATTATAACCGGAAGGCAGTGTTGCTGATTGTGTTTGTCATAGTTATTCAACGACTGTAAACATGTTTTTGGATATGTCCTCACTAACACTGGCTAATGAATTGTCTTTTCATTCTTCATCAAGTGTTGTCATCAATCACTCCAAATCCACGAACACGTACATAATGCAGCAATATAATGTAATCTCAGATCCATTGAAGTTTCTTGTTGTCAAACTTTGCAGTAATGAAAAACACTCTTTATGCGAAACAATTTTTTCTATTGAAATCTATTTTATCGATTTTCTATTGAAAAATATAATATGTTCCATTCCCATCCACCCCCAAAAAATCAAACAAATTAATAATGAAGTAATTTATCATTTATAATAAATCTCCTTTTTTTTTTTTTTTTTTTTTGTTAAGAAAGGTGTTTAATGACATCTGTTTTTGCCAAAACTTCAAAATTTGGTGAAAATGAGATGCAGCATTATTGTTAGATAAAATTGTAGTATGCATAGCTACTGTCTTAGTATGATGCTTCTCAATATACATTGCAAAAGTTTACCATGTTTTCAACGTCTCCTTTACTTTATCGGAAGGTTGTTGCTTTGCTGAGTCTGTTATCTTTTTCCTTGACAGAATCTCCATAACCTCTTACTGTGATATTGAATGTAGCTCCAAAAGCTCTTTTTTATACTCAGCTGTAGGCCTGTGTTTTTCACTAGCTCATTGGTGTCATTGTGGTCCACATCTGGCCCCATAATCTTAGCCAATAAAAACAATACTTGAAGAGCACTTTTTAAAATTTTAAATGTCCTGATCATCCATGCACTGTAGTAAAAGAATGGTGTTGAGAGGCAGGAACTCGAATTCTAGGTGTGGATGATGTGCAGGAGCATTGTCCATAACAAACAGGGTACAGAGTGGCAAATTCATCTCAGAACAGATAATGATAAACAAAACAATTCTTTGACCCAATCTTTATAAAGTTCATATGTCACCCAAGCCTTTTTGTTGGGCCTCTATGACATTTAGCCTGCTTTTTGACTGCATACTTGCTAAAGGGTCATGGGTTCTCGAAATGGTAAGACTGGTTTTATCTGCTTGGATAATCTGGTATATGCAGGAATTATTAAAAACAGGTATAGAATTTTTTTTTATTTTTAACCATCATACTAGACTCCCCTTAACAATTGTAAAACTCTTTGGTACTATCAACAAATATAATTATTATAAGTTGTACAGTTGGACAAATCAAAATAAATGTAACATTATGTAGTATAATACAACTTGTATTACAGAATGTATCAATCATTAAAACATATAATTCTTGTTCAGGGTTCGTACAGTCCTTAAAAAATCATTTTAGTCATTACAATTGTCCTTAAATTTTTTGGAATTGATTTTTGGTCCTTAAAAGTCCTTAACTTTGGCCAAAATCAGCAGAAGGTCCTTAATTTTAATCATCTGAAATTTCTGTCTGTTTTTATGACTGCCATTTTGAGTGTGAATTAGCATTTTAGAGGAATATTTTTGGCGTTTCACTGACATATATGGTTATCTTTTGAATGTGTTCATGGGTTATAATTTGTTTCTATTTCTAATAAAAATGATGGGATACTCGAGTTTCTAAGCAAGAAGTGAAATATAAGCATTTCGAAATTCCCTTTTTCTAATAAAGAACTCTTAAACAACTTTTCATTTTTAGGGATGTGAATTCTTTTATTAAACAGCTCTAAATTTGGCGATTTTAGAATCAGTTTCTATAGAAAATTTTTAATTCCGAGATCTGACAATTTTTTGACCAGTTTTTTTAAAGTATCATAACATTGATAAATTTCATTAAAATAATGGTAATATATTGAAATTATATATAAAAAATAACATTAAAGTAAAACATTCTATTTTTCGCTGTTATATTATAAAGTTTCATTTTGGCAACTTATACAATATTATGAATCTGATAAATAAGGCATATTGCTATAAAGCATAATTTACGAAACAGCTCTTAGCAAGAGCAAAATTAGTTATGCAATTAATTAAAAATGTCTTCTTTTTAATTTTTTCATAGTAAGTGTTTTCCCCATGCAATTGCAGGGTTCATAGCGGTCCTTACAAGTGCTTATAGTCCTTATATTTGAAAATAAAATATAAAGGCCCTTATAGGTGCTTACTTTTTCTTTAAAACCCTTATTTTTTGTTTTTAGTGCTTATTTCTTGCTTTTAGTGCTTTTCTTGCTTTTTTTTTTTTTAATCCTTTGTTTTTAATGAACGCGGTAGCCAAAGCCGAAACTAAATAAACAACTTTTCTTCCTTATATGCAATGTCAGATGGTGAATCATACTCCCGAAAATTGCTTTTCCCCCCTTCCTCTGCATTAACGTAACCTATGGTGCGAGCAAGAGTACAGACAGGTGCACGTTGTTCTATTGGCCAAAGAATTGCGAAAACGTAGAAAATTCCGGTACATTCGGTATTCTTTTCCTCCCAACCAAATACTACACACGTTTGAATTTCTATCAAGATTTTAATAATTTGCATTCTCGTTTCCGCGTAGTCAGTTTTTATTCGTGTTTATTATGATCGTTATACTTATATTATGAGTAAATGTATGAATATTTATAATAATATAGTTGCAGTAACTGCTGAAGTATAGATAAACTTCCAAAAATGGGTGTGTTTTTACACAGATTAGCTTTCTAAGGAATAATATTCGGAATGACTTAAATAAAAGGAAAGTAATTGAATATTCAAAATAATTTCATTTTCTTTTCCAATACATTATACAGTACGGAGGTTGGGAGTTTCTCCACAAAATCTATAATATTGAAGCAGCGGACTTTTTTTGTCACTGTCCAATCTGGATTGAATAGGACTAAAAGTTTTTGCGGTCTACCCAACCGAAGCGAAGATTGATTCTATTCCGGAAATTTAATACAGTCTGTTGAAAATTAGAATCAGAAACACCCCAGATTAGTAAGTCTCTTTTTTTTCCTTTATTTAGTTCTTTTTTCTCCGAATACCGGCAGGTGTTGATTCCGATTGCGCACATATGCACGTATTGCGCAATAACGTTTGCGGTATTTTGCATTGATAATTAATTTTGATGTTCAGTCTGAGATTTGTTTATGAACACTTAAAAGAGTTTTACTGTGCTTTCTAAGCAGAATATTTCTCAGTTCCGTTGGTTTTTATATGATGCACATATCGAAATGTCAAAATCATTTATTTAGCCTAAATTAAAATCTAAAGAACGGCTACAATCTCCCCCACTCCTCTTTTTACAGTTACTATCCGGAATATTCTGGAATTTCTGAGTATGCGGGTTAGTTAAGCTTTTACTATTAAAGGATGACTGCATGAAGCAATTTCCCATCTTCTGATTTCAGAAATGTGCCTCTTTTTTACTTAAATTACTTTGTTTGGGATATATGTTAAGGGAAAACTGTTATGCAATGAAAATTTAGAAAATGTTCCGAATTTTGATTTAAGTTAAATTATTTAAATAATATGAGTGGAAAAATAAATTGTATTTATTATTAGGTGCCAAACGAATACAATTAATATGGCTTATTTATTTTCTATATTTTCAACTGAAATATCATCATTAAATTTTGTAATATAGTTTAGTTCTGCATAGTTTTTTTTTTTCTCTCATTGTAAACTAATTCTGTAAATTGAACTGTCATTTAAAATTTAAAAAAAAAAAAAAAAAAAATTAATTGTTTTCCATTGCTCATTCTCTTAATAAATATTGCATTGCTCATACTTTAAATTACAAGTCTAATTTATCTTTTAAGGTTATGCAGTTGTGTATAATGTAATTAGACAGGTACTTATTTTTTCCTTAAAATGTGCTTGAAAAGTGCTTATAGGTGCTTATTCTTTTAACTAAAATGTGGCTATGAACCCTGAATTGTCTCGGAATATTCAAAATTCTCAGAATATGCGTCAGTTTTCTCTATAAAATTAATTTTACACTTTTCCCTCCTTCTTTTTTTTTTTTTTTTTTTTTTTTTTCAAAATATTTCTGATTTTTTGCTGTTACAGAATTCATAGAGATAATTTTTCTTTAGTATTTTAGACATTGCAGCTTGGAAAGTTTAGAAAGGTTTGAAGTCAAGATATATAGACCCACGATTCTAGAAGATTCGAGAAATATGTGACAAAATGAAAAATGTCTCCATGATATCGACACATAATGGATGTATTTTACAGAAAGTTTGCGATGAATTTCTTACCTTTTGGAGAGTTTATGGAAGAGAAATGAAAACATAATATTTGAATGTTTTACTTCTGATACTACAGTCTTTTTCTGGAAGAACAATGAAAACATAATATTTGAATGTTTTACTCCTGATACTAGAATCTTTTTCTTAGCATGTTTATCTTCCCTTTATTTTCTCTACCTTTCACTAGACACAAGCATCAAAAATATCAAAAATGCTTCTAATCTTATCACTGGGCAGGCATCATAGAAAAGGATTTTTTTATTAATAAAGAAATTGAAAACTTACAATTTAAAACGATTCATCTAATATGCCGTAATGCATCATACACAGAGCTGGCACTAGGCATTTTCCTACCTGATGCTATCTCTGTGGATCCTAAATTCTAAACGTTTTGCTATTTCTAGATTTTATTGTTCGGTGTGTCACTAAATTCTAAAAATTCTGCCACACCAGCTTTGTAACCGGGCTTTACCATATATATTTCATATTTCTTCTGAATGTTCATATTACTAAAGAAATAGAATTAGCCACTTTTTCTATACATTCTAAATGCATATAGTGTTTTTTTGAATAACAGAAATAATTAGATCCAAAAATTCTAAAATGTAAAGGAACTGTGTTGAAGAAAGAAACTGAATACATAAAGAAAATTACTCCTCAAAGATATGTGCAGTTATTATTATGTAACTTACCCAATTGTTTATAATTTCAGCCTTTCAGTTTATGATTCAGTCGGGGGTTTGGGACTTTAACCAGATCAAGTAAACCCTCATAGGTACCTTGTGGAGATGTTGACAAGTTAGAAGATAAGCACGCAGAAACTAGAGAGAGCATTGGTTTGCATGTTGAGACAACTCTCTAATTGTTAGAAAAGATGCTTAAAGAGAAGGAAATCTATATAAACTAGCTAAAATGTTTGGCTTTAAACTAAAATGAAGTATAAATATTTTGTTGAGTGTTGTTACAAAACATAAATGTTTTGTAGCTTTTAATGTGTATCCCAATAGCATTTAAGAATCAATGTCATAAATTACATGTATTTTAAACTGTGAAATTTTATTAGATTTTGATTTTAATAGGCCTTTTTTTTAACAATAAAAAATTTAATAGTGGCCATGTAAATCCATAATGACTAAGGTTATCTAATTACCTAATTTAATTATTTATAACTAACTGCTTACCCTTAAAAGTTATCTCTACATATTAAAGCGAGTTATTGCCTTTCATTAACACTTACTGTAGTCACAAGATAAAACACAAAAATTTAAAAATTCAAGTAAAACTTATTTGTTGCATCATTCTTTGCATCTAGTGAAACTTAAAAATAATACAAAACAATTTATCATCTCTGGTACTTTAATCGCTTATTGGAACATTAAAGTATATTAACTGGGCTACAATCCCCTGGAACTCTACACAAAGCTGTGACACTAACTGCATCAAACAGAGCCTGACTAAGTTTCAAATTTTGCCAACTGTGTCTACATCAGACCTTTCAGGTTTGTTCTAATAAGCAGGTCTCTCTCTAGACAAGCAACAGTGGTGATAACATTCATTCTTTTGTTATGAATCATGCTGATTATAATCTTACTTCACATTTTAACCTATACCATTTGACATACAATCTACCTGCTATTTACTAAACCTCTAGACTGACTAGTATGTAACAAAATGAGACATAAAAAATTAACTAAAGCTAACTATTATTAAAACGTAAGTAAATGTCATCTTTCAATATGTCCAACTATTATAAGTGTAAAATATTTAATCCTACTTGATAAATTGTAAAGTTTATTTATTCTCAAACTTATTAATCATTATGTTAATTAATTCATGTTTAGTAATAATGCATACTACTCAGGGATCTATTTTATTTTTAGAATGGTATTACAAAAGTGAAATTCAGGCATAGAATAGTATTTTTAATTGAATTTATTCAGTTCACATTTGCTCATAGGTCCTTAGTTTTTTCATTAATGGTCCTTAAAAGTACTTTATTTCTGTGTGCAGAAATGTGTACAAACCCTGTTTTCATTATGTAAATGTGTCATTTGATAATAAATTCCATAAAATTCTTAATAGTAAACCCTTTCTATTATAACAAAAGAGCAACTTAATTACAGCTATAATAATGCTTTCATTTTTATATTGATTTAATGTCCTTACCAAGTCCAGTTTGTTACATAATTTTTTTTAATTAACACCTCTTGCTTATAGAAAAACAAAAATAGCTTAATCCATTAATTTCTGTTACGGTTAAAGTCATATATTCAACATTTATTTTATGACATTAATTTTCCTGTTATGTCGCCAGAAAAATAAGTTCATAAATTAAATGCCTTTTATTTCTATAAAACAGTTATCTGCCATAATCAGTCCTTTTGATTAGTAAATTAATTAGAGTTTTCAGGCATAAGTAATTTTTTTCTAAACCGGAATGCTGAACATCCATACACAATTTATATTTGCTATTCGTAATTGTACAATTTATACATTCAGGATTATTTCTGCAATCCCAGTGATTGTCCTTTTTTTGAACATTTAGTGCATATAAATTCTTTTACACTTTTTTATGAAAATGGTAAAATTCTTGACACTTAAAACACCTCACTGTATTGAGGTATTTTCTGACTGATATTCAATACCATTTCAAATTTATTTTGGCTTGAGTAATAGTTGTCTTAAATTTATTGGATTAGATATTTGCAACCCAGGGAACCATTGTATTTTTGGCCTTAATTGAAAATAATAAATCCATGCCTCTTGAAAAATATGATTTTGCTGCCTTATGGCCTTTCTAAATTTCATCTCTCTTTAATTCTCCATCAGTATCATACAAGATTACCTTGGGCCTTTACCTTATTGGAGATTTCAGTTGAATCTCATCCTTTCACGTAGGATCAACTTTTATCTCATCCTCTAAAACAGTAATATCATCTTTATTTAGACATTTAAGCACTTATCTCATCCTCTTAAACAGTAATTTCATCTTTATTTAGACATTTAAGCACAATACCACCATTATTAATTTTATGAACACTTAACTCCTTTTTTTTAATTTAACAGGATTAATTGTGTCGACTGTTTTTATTTATTCTGACGATGTTTCTTTTTTATATTTGGATATAGAACAACAACATGATCCTTTTTCCTCTATGTTTTATCTTGTCTGTAAAACCTTCTTATCAAGAATCTTCTATTCCTTAACAATGTCCACAAAAGATTTTTGTAGTATTTGTTCTGGTTGTTTAGCTTTACATTCTTCTAGTTTACCTTTCAACATCAGGATCTCCTAAGCTTGAGATATAATAAAACTAAATAACCCACGTTTAAAAAATCTTTCTTCTCAAGGGCAGTCACCCTAGATGATTCTTCAAGGGAAGTCATCTGTAACTCACTTTAATAGACGATGCTTGAAATATTGAGCATCATCTATAAAGTCACTTTTAATGACTGTTTCCGTTTGAACTCCTGAGTTCATATTAAAACAAACCAGGACCCTGACGTTTCCCAGGATTGACATGGAGTTTGGTGTTAGCTCCTTCCCTTGGGAGGAGGAGGCCGTTACCATGACAAGGTCCCAAACTTTGGGGAGTTCCCAGTGTTGATCAATAAAAGGTTTAAAGCTGTCAGTTGGATTTTAAACCAATAAACACTTGATCCCCTTCTGTGAATCTGAATGGTAAATGTTCAGCAGTTTAATATTCAAATCGCTACTTGAACAAAACAGCAGCATGATATCGTCTTTCACTGTTTTGTGACCAACAGTGCTTTCTCTGCTGTAATATCTCTTCATTTTAGCATCTTTTTCCAGAAGAGATTTTTGTCATTACAATTAAAAACCAGCTGTGGCAAATAGCCCTCAGAATTGGTAATTTTTCTTCTGGCATTTTCTTTGGAAACAAATGTGTAAGCATGCAAAAAAAAAAAAAAAAAAAAAAAAAAAAACTTACAATAATGCATCTGAATACAACTTCTCAAGCAACAGGAAGATGCTAGCTAAATAAATGCAGGATCGTTAAGCGAGATGAAAGCAGGATCCTGCATGTGACATCAGGTCACTCATCAGTCATTCTTTGAAATATTGCTCATTGTTCAAATCAGAGTCATTAAATGAGGTTTAACTGTAATAATAATAATAATATACATTTTTAGCTTATATAATAAAGTTAAATGTCTTTTGATTTTAGTGTATGTTTTAAAAGAATTATGTCATTCTTTGATCCTACTGGAGGAAGAGGTCCAATTTTATTTCATTAATGTTTTGTTAGAGATCCCCATATCTAATAATATTAGGACATGTGGCTGATGAGTGCAAAGTATGCTATCAACAGTATTTTGTAAAGCAGTCAAAATGTTTGTGTATACATAGTAACATACAGTGTAACAGTTATCCATGCTGATTATCAATTATCTGAATTAGATGTTCTTTAAGGCTAATTAAATTGCACTTGTTAATTTTATATGATGATAATTTATTTACATGTTTGTTGTATTAATAATATGGTTTGCTCTTGTTGATAATTTATTTAATTATATAGTCTGTTGACGTGCTGAAAGATCCTGATGCAGTGAAACAGCTTGGAAACATTTTGAAAACAAATGTGAGGGCTTGCAAAGCATTGGCACATCCATATGTACTGCAGGTAATTTTTTTGTCGTTATTTTTATTTCAGTATTGAGGATTTAAAATGTATATTTTTCTAAAATATCGATTCATCATTGAATTGATTGTATTATGCAGGGTATTTAAAAAATGATTATGTATGAAGTTAATTTATGCAGTAATAAATGCTATGCTGTGTACTCTGGAATTTTTTTTTTTTTTTTTTTTTTTTTTTCAATTAATAGCTAATATTGATTCCGAGAAGCATTAAAATGCTTATATGTCTGCACCATATCAGTATGATCCCCATCAAAACAGCATTCATCCCTTAACTCACTTAAAAGCTAAAACATAATATGCTTAAATATTTGCAGTTACTGCATTAATTCTTATCTTCAGATGTCTATATTCTGAATCATTTATTGTAGATCAGCATTTTCATGTGATCCCTAAAGAATAAATTCAGTGAGAGGTGATGTCTTTAAATCAATAAATGAGTTAGTGCACAGTTGTCAAAACGTATGCAGTCCTACTTTTTAATGTCCTTATTTGGCAAAGTAATTAAATCACTATGTAGATATGCTTTACTATTAACAGAGTGGGATTATGGCTGTTTTGGTTCCAGGGCATGGAAATTCCTAATTTTCGTGAAAACTGCCCCCCCCCTTTTTTTAATTTTTATTAATGAAATTTAACATTAAAGTTTGAACTAAATGAATTGCGCTATCACCCCTAGTAATGCCTTTTTATATACTACTTAGACCTCAGACTACCTTAGACTACCTGGCAGCCGTACTAATGTATAAACTAGGGCTGCTGTCTGTATTTCTTAAAGTTGAGTTCTGCAGTTTTTAGTGTGTAAATTTTTCAAAATTTCATCCTCAGTATTGCAAGGCTAGTATGCAAGGCAAGAGTGAGAAATAGTATATAATCATGTATTGGATGGGTGTTAGCAATTAGGCTCTGCCTATTAGTTTTTTGGGCCCACCAGCGGCCGAGCGGTAAAGTCGCTGAACACTGGTAGTTCGGTCCGAGGTTCGAATCCCGCGAACTAGCTCGCTGCATGGGCGTTTTAGGGGTTTTCCCCATGTGTAAGGTGTATACGAGCCAGTTTCCCTTAGAAAGTCCTCCACGAAGGCATCTCTCCTCTTAGGCAGATAGCCCTAGTTAGTGTGCTTTGCCATAATTAAATACACACACCTATTAGATTTTAAACTTCAAATGATTCTTCGAATTCTTTGATGCATGTATTACTTAAATTTTAGTAATTTATTCTGTTGTAATGATGACAGCCAGTTAATTAAATTTTTGGGTACAAATGCTGATAAAATTTTTATACTCTTAATTAATTTTCATTAATTTATCAAATAATGTATTTGGGGGGAGTATATTTAAAGCTTGGAACTGTAGTGCTTTTAGGTTGTATAAATTAAAGTGAGTGCTTTTTTATTTTGTTTATTTATAAATATGTTGTAGTTTAAGTATGTCAAATATTGCTGTTTTTTTGTGCTCTGAATTTCCTTATAATATGTATTAAACCTGTTTCTAATTTTCATGTGATTAATTGATTAAAAAGTAATGAAAATTGGGTTATTGTTTGATTAGCATATTAAATATTTGTTTTTAAAAAAAGTTTTCTTACACTTTTTATTTATTACTGAATTTTAGTGTTTAGCTGCCATTGCTACATTTACATCACTTTTTATACATGTTGGAGTTGTTTTGCATATATAATGAATTTATACTTTAACTTTGTGTGTTAGGTTTTAATGGTATAATACCATAGAATTTCATCTGACTTTGGAGAAGAAAATATAATAGTTATAGGATTTTTAGGAGGTTTAATTTTATCAAGTCATAGAAAAATGTTTTCTTTTGTACTTAATTAGGAAAAATTAGCAGTGCTACATTCAAAATTCTTACCAAATTAACTTTATAATCACATTTAGAAGAATTATGAAAAGTGTTGGGAAGCAAGAGTTTTTTTTTTGGGGGGGAAGAGAGGTGAAACTATGTATTTATAATTTAAGAAATATCTTCTCAATTTTTAACTCTTCTCAATATTTTAATTGCATCCTTTACTCATTAGATAGATACTTAAGGTTTATTGGTGCCTAAAGTAGCAGAATACCAGTTGTTCATTCCATGCTCTATTTATTCATGTGAAATTGGTTGATTTGTAGTATAAAATAAGAGAAAGTTTCATTTAAAAAGCTCCCTATAAAGGCATTTGTTCTGTAGCAGATATTATTTGCTTTGTCGTAAGTTAATCTATTTATTACATTTAAAATGTTGCAGAGGATAGAAAGATTAGTAGATGGCGTCATATGTTTCTTTTGATTTACCATTGTTAGATAATGTACTTTGAAAATAGCTAAATATAAAATTTTTATAATAATTTTGAGATTTTAAACGAATCTTTTTATATTTTAGAATTTATCGGAATATATGTAAATGTAAAAAAACTCTGTTTGTATCATTAAATTTTAGTATTACTTGATGATAATAAAAATTATTTTTAGCTTGGTCGCATCTACCTGGATATGCTGAATGTGTATAAAGTCATGAGTGAAAACATCAGTTCGGCTATTGCTGTGGTTGGTGAAAGTGTCACAAAACAACCTTTGATACGAAGCATGAGAACAGTAAAAAAGGAGACACTGAAGCTGATATCAGGCTGGGTCAGCCGATCGACTGATCCTCAGATGGTATGTAGCTTTCTGGTTTTTGTTATGAAAGATTCAAAAATTCATATTCTTTTACGTGCCTGGTGAAGTGAATCCTCCTTATATTAAATACACATTGATTTCAAATATTTTGTCTGTTTTTTTATAAAAAGTATTTGTAATTATAAAAATAGCTAATATGAATTTTATTTTAAATATAGGTGTTGGATAATTTCATACCACCTCTGCTTGATGCAGTGTTACTGGATTATCAGCGGTGTTCAGTACCTTCAGCACGAGAGCCAGAAGTTTTATCCACAATGGCTACAATTGTGAATCGACTGGAGGTAAGTTTAAGACAATATGTGTTACAGATATTGCACATGTAAGTTGGTGACATAAATTAGCAGTGCAGTTATTTTTTGTCTTTTATCTTTTTATATCTCTCTTGATTTTATTCATTAAGTGTGCTGGAATTTTGAATTTGTCCAGGATTAAATTTCCATTGGCCTTTTTATATCCATTGGAGATTATTTTCTACCATTTTATTGGAATTCTGCATTTGTATCAGATTTATTGTTTTACATATTATCTACCACATACAGATATTTTTATTTTGTTGCTCATACTGTATGCTTTCAAAATTTTTCATTCAACCTCTAATTTTCTATTTGATAGCATTCTAATTCTGTGCTTCAGAAAAATTGGTATGTATTTGAAGTAAATGGTGAAACAGCTACTTTTATGATATTAGCAGGTGATGTTTTATATGTCATTTCAGAAGATGAAAAGATTTATCTTAGACCAAGGAGTTAGAAACTCTCAAAAAGTCTTGTTTTGTACAGAAATGGGGAGGGGAAGACTGATTTTGGGATGACGTAAGATTAAAAGAAAGTGGAAAATAGAAATGCCTAGTATTGATAAAATCTGTTTTAGTTTGCTACTATAAACTGTTGAAAGAGAATTTTATTATATGAATGTTATGATGACAGAATATAGAACATCGATGGCATAGACTGTACGAAGACTGAAAAATAATTAATCCTCATTAAACAAAAACATTTGTGAAGTTTTGGGATTATAAAATCTCTCCTGAGATTCTGTTAGTAAAGATTTCAGTAATAATTTATTGAATAGCAGATAGCTTACCATTCAGTGAACTGATCCCATCTTGCTATAAGTTCCTGTGTGTTAATTATGCATATTCCAGATTCTAAGCTGAACTTTCAGGTGTTGGGAAAGAAAAGTATATAACTAGGCAGACAAACCCAACCAGGATAATGGTTAGCGACGCTGATTGCCATACCGAAAGGCCTGAGTTTGAATCCTGGAGAAGGCATGGATGTTTATAAATATATAGTGTCTGTGTGCACTGTAAATATGCGGCAAGCCAAAACAATCTAGAGAGGTTGATGGTAGGTAAAGAGGAGTGGGAGACCGTTGTACCCGTACCCTGAGATGCTCTCCTTCAAAATTGGAGTTGGAACTAAGCAAAGTTGTGCTGTCACCTATATTGTGCTCAAGGCTTCTGCCAACGACAGGGGCAATCTTGGGCCTTTGCCAATATAAATTTTGTGCGCTTGCATACTGGTATACTGATAATTCTAGAATTGTTACTTATCTTTTACTGACAGAAATTTTTGGGGGCTTGGAAAATTTTTTGGGGTATAGAAAAAAGATCTTATGGAATCATCCAAACTTTTCTTTTATGGGAGCATAATGTTGTATTAATCATAAGATGAAAAATGTTTTGAATTTTTTCATGTTACTTCATAATGACAAAATTTGAATCATTAAGCAATTATATCTGATCCTTTATCAGTAATATTCCTTCAATCAGTCTGACTGTATGGCTCTCTCTCTCTCTTCTCTCTCTCTCTCTCTCTCTCTCTTTTTTTTTTTTTTTTTTTTTTTTTAAATGTGTAATAAACATATGAGCCAACTTTCCTTGAAAAATCATCCACCCTCTTAAGTCCCTGTGAGTTTGGCAATAATCATATAAAATAGGCAGATATTTCAAACATTGTATTCTGCATTTCTATGCTAAAGTGCGGTTGGGTCATGAAATATGTTTTAAATGTTCGAAGGTTGATGTAACAGGTTTTTTTGATTTCTCTTGGGTAGTATTTGATAGTCATGTTCAAAACCACAGTATTTTGTTATTCTCTGCAGCAGTCTGTGCCATCATCTGAATTGTGCTAAATAAGAAGGTTACCACTTTCTTTCAAACCATTCATTAGCTCTAAATCTGATATTTTTTTAATTGCAGTTTCATGGTATACCTTCTGAAACATAAGCTTCTTTGCATGAGAACTAAAATAAATTCAGTTTTTTGGCAAAATACCAAAAGCCTGCAAGTAGGGGATCATTTGTTTCGTTTCTGAGCTAATATAATATATTCATGATGCAAAATGCAATAAAAATTAAAATGAAATGAGCATATATTGCAAGACCTTTCTGCAATGAAAGGATTAACCCCCCCCCCAAAAAAAAGTAATGCAGAGTAAAAGAGTAAATCACAATAAATATATATTTACTGTGATTGCGAGAAGCTAAAGTAAAAGAAGCTAGAAATAAATTTTGAAAAAAAGGAGGGGGAGAGCATTAAAAAGAAAATACTATGAAATGAGAATCTAACCTTTCTTAACAGAATTCAGCTTTTAGATTTGCTCAATACTTGCAGTAATAAGGGTAATGGGCTGTATTTTTGACAGTGTATCGGTAGGTATTGTCTAGCAACCAGTACTAACAGTTTCAGTATTTCTCTTTTGTAGTAATTGTGAATGAATAAGCAAAGCACTTGATTGTGATATTCTCTCTTGTCTCTTTTCCCCCAATTTTAAATATTTTATAGACTTAGGGAATGTTGAGGATCATGCGATCCAAATTTGAAATGTGAATCATGGAATATGCAGCAGTTTTATAAAAGCGTACTTATCATTCAACAGACTTTGTTATTGCAGAAGTTCCTTTCTAAATTTTTTTTAAAAAATAATAATCACAAATCAAATGTTTTAGTATTAAAACCTTCAAAGTATAGAAAGTGTCTCTCTGTTTTGTAAATAGCTAAAATGCTAGTTAATATTCATTTTTTAGCATCTTAGCTTGTTATTTATGGTTCAGCTAATAAGATTTACTTACAGTTAGATATGCTAAGTGGAACTCTGTCGGAGGACAAAAGATTATTCAAAAAAATGTAACGAAATATTAGAAATTGGCAAATATGTTTTTTTTTATCGTGTCTTTGAATAGTACAATATATCCAATTGATTTGTGCATAAAAAATTTTTATCCATGTAACATATAACTAATTTAAAATTATTTTGGTTTTCAGTCACATATAACTCCAGAAATCCCCAAAATATTTGATGCTGTTTTTGAATGCACCTTGGATATGATAAACAAGGTATGTATTTGCTTTCCTTTTTTATTTTAGAGTATGCCCCCCCCCAAATAGAGCAGTGTGCTGTTTTCTAAAATCTATCCTAAGTGATTCAGTAGTAGTAATACTGCGTAGCAGTAGGCTATTTTTCTGGTATATTTCAACATTGTAAATGCTTCCATTGTTCCTTCATGAGTTTCTGTTATTTTCTTTGTCTGTGTGTGAAGGAGTTATAATATATTAGCATACTTTTTCACAATTGGAGTTACTTATTTTTTTAGGATTTTGAGGAGTTTCCAGAACATCGAACAAATTTCTTCCTTTTGTTACAAGCTGCAGTCACACACTGTTTTCCTGGTAAGTTAAATTTTTGATTTATAGAAAAATACATATTAGACTAAAATTTCAGCCTTTTTTATTGATTTTTGAAACTAATTTGTTATTTTAAATTGTTTTTTGAACTGTATAATATTTATTTTGCAACTCTATTATTGTTATTATTGATCTGTAAAGTAAAATAATTACGATTAAATGGGGAAAAGAATTAATGAAAGAATATAGTAATGCAAAATGAAAATCCCCCATTAATTCAATATTTAATTTCTACTAATTCATATGTGTATCACTTTATAGTCTAGAATGAATTGAAATAAATTCATTAGTATGTGAAGTAAACAAACATCCCCCAAAATAGTATTTTCATTGAATTTGCAATGTGCAGTTAGCAGAAAAGTATATAAATTCAGAGCTGTTAATTCAAATTATGTCTACCGTAGGGTGTTTCCCTTCAAACAAATGCTAAATAAAGACAAGCAAAGTTGTGTAGATTGAGGAAACAACATTTAAAAACATCTTTTCCCCCCTTAATTTTACTAGACAAATACATTTTAAACTTGTTGGTGTTGTTAAATCTTTCTCGCATATCTGTGACTTCAGGAATCCTTAAATATAAAAAGTAAAAAATATAAAAAGTTTTGAGTCTCAAGATCTTACATTGAAAGTTAATGGAATATGAGAGTAACAGTAAAAGAAACGGAAGAAGTAGAAGGGACTTGCATGAGTGTTGCAGGATTAGATGCATTCTAGATTAGAAAAATTATTTTGTGTGTAGGCTATATGCCCACATAAGCTGCACCTCATTGCTGAAAGAATATATGTGAGGAAAATATATTTTAAATTTTATTAAAGTACATTAAATACAAGGTAACAAAAAAGTTCTTGCCATTTCTGATATGACATTGGAAGAGTTAACTCCAACATAGAAATAGTCACCAAAACTGGCCATGAAGTGGTTAGGATGGGAGTCCGGTCATTGACCAAGAATATAAAAGCATGTTGTATCAGTACTTCAAACATAACTCACACAACGACTAATTGAAATGGACGTGTCAAAGGCTCTAGTTCAGAGTTGTTTGCTGTATAATCTTAAAGTGGGCCTGTCAGCAGCAGAATCAAGTTGCCGAATTTGCCAGGCCTTTAGGGATGATGCAGTTAACAAACAAACCTCTAGGCAGTGGTTCCAGAAGTTCAGGTCAGGGGATATGTCTCTTAGTGATGCACCACGTAGTGGTCGGCCACAAGTGCTGAACGATGTGGTCCTGAGAGCAGCCATAGAGAATGACAGTGATAACATGTGGTAAGCTTGCTCTTCCAGGTATCTGGTGAAATGATTAGACTCCATTTGCACCCCATAGCAAATGCATACAAGCTGAGCAAGTAGGTTCCATTCACTGTCCGATGCAAACAAGCAACAACATGTCGCTACTTGTTTGTCATTGCGTACTTGCTACCACAATGCATCAATATTTGATAGAGTACTCACCAGCAATGAAAAGTGGATCCAGTATGATATAGACCCAGCCATTCCAGACATTGGATGTCACCACAGGACCCTGTGCCTCACACTGTGAGACTTTCTCTCCACCTGTGCAATATCATGATCTGTATCTAGTGGACTAGTCGCCAAGGGGTGCACTATGAGCTCCTGCCATTGCGCCAAACCATCACAGCAGGCTTGTACTCGCAGCAGTTCATCAGGCACTGATGCATAAAGAGCCAGCATTGGTCATTTGTAAGGGTATACTTCTCCTCCATGACAATGCAAGGCTGCATGTGGCTCTGGAGGCCAGGGACACCATCCAACAACCAGGACGGTAATTCTACGCTATGAGAGTCGACAGCAAGTTGTGGGCCGCCAGATGTCGCTCCTAGTAAAAAAACAGGTCTGCCCGACATCCTATATTCTCTGAGTACGGAAGTTGTCAAAAGCGCGTGAAAAAGTGTTGCCGCGTCGTCGATCAGGATTGTGCAGTTGACGTACTAAGTAAACTATGGCTTTATATGTGTTTTCGCCACTGATTTTTTCATATTTAAATGAAGAATACGGTCGTAGATCTCTGAATCGGTGGCGAATTTATAGAAAATATGTTGATGCTTTTGCTCTGCCAAAAGATGTTTTCATTGCGTATTTTAGATTGCCAAAAATTTATAGTATTTAAATTTGCGATGAACTGAGAGAGTATTTGGAGCACATTCAGAAAACAAGAACGCAATTTCTACTGAAAGAAAGGTTATACTATTCCTGAAATTATAGATATAAATTGTAATTGTACGCTTTAAAAATGTAGAACGATAATAAGTTTATCAAGCACATAAACCTTCTTCATTTAATACAAATATAGACATCCGATAAGCTTCTACTCGATTTATGTACAGCAAGAATTACGTTTACTTTAAAATCTAACAGTTGAATACCACAAACACAAAAAGGAATGTCGTTCATTATTACGCGAATTCACACTACTGTAAAAAAAAAATTTAAAAAAAAAAAAATAATGATATAATTATAAAACTATTAAAATAGCTTTATATATTTTTTTCAGTAGCTGTAAACTACTAGTGTGATACTTTTAAAATAAGTTTTAGCTCAGAGGGGCTATTAATTTCGTTTTGCCATTTTGTGGCGTTTCACTTTTCAAATCGTGCCACCAAGTATTATATTTAAAGAAATTAAATAATGAGGAATCTGCAGAATGTATGAATGTTTCTCGCACTGTTGATTAAACAACGGTACCTAGAGCCATGAAATTCTGAATAACGTAATCCTCCATCCTAATATAGGCATCTGGAGCCCAATTTGGAACGGGAATTTGTATTATTATCCATTTCATATTCCTATTTTGTAAAGCATTTATGAGTTTTTGATTAAGAAACCCAACGATTTCAAAGCGAGCAATGGCAACATTGTTGGAAAAAAACATTTTCTCTCTAGCGCGCGAGACTATGTATCGGAAATTCTAAAGATATGCTTTTTTAAATTATATGATATTGCTGTTGAATTGAATTTTATGGTTTAAGTGTGAAAAGCATGATATGTAATAAATGAAACACGCAAAATGTTAAAAAAATAAGCCCTTTGAAAGTAATATAAAATCTGAAGGCTTTCAGTTTTTTTTTTTTTTTTTTTTGTGTGGGTGTGTGTGTGTGTGTGTAATTTTAATGTGTTTTAAAACTGGTTTCTAAGTGAGGACTTTCTAATGGAAACTGGCTCGTATACACATTAAACATGGGGAAAGCTACGAAAACGCCGGCCAGCTCATTCGCGGGATTCCAGCCTCGGACCAAACTATCTGCGTTCAGCGACTCTACCACTCGGTGGCTGGTGGGCTTGTTAGTAGAATTATACTGTATTATTATTGTATTATGCTATAAAGTAACAATGCTATGAGACTGAGGGTTTGTTCATGGAATAGTACTTTTGTAACTATTATAGTATTAAAAAATAATTGTTCCTTTGCAAACTTTAAAAAAATAATAATAATAATGTTCATAGCATTCTCATTTTTATATTGTAAAGAGATTGATTTATTAGTTTTATTGATTAGTTAGTTTTCTATTTAAAATGTGTCGAAACGCTGGGTTTGACAAGGACTTCAACTGCAGGAAAACTACACTGATTATTTTTACTTAGTACTTCCATTGTGAAAATATTACTATCTTTTAATTATTTTCACAGAACAAAATCTTTTGAGAAGGAAAGAATATTTAAACTGAGCAGTTCTTATAAATACAACAAAATTAAAATAACAGCAACTGTAATATTGAAAAAAAGGTATATTAATAATTGTGTGACAAAAATTGCAAAACGAATTAATCACACATACAGGATAGATTAGTTTAATTTGGTTATATATTTATATTGAAAAAATATTTTCTTTCATGTTAATTATAGAATAAATTATTTAAAATAAAGCATTTTGATGCGTGTGTGATAATTGAATGCAGCAGCAATCGGCCACTGTAATAGCGAATGAATTTTATTCTTTTTCCTGAAAGAAATAATTTTCATAGAAAAAGAAAATAAAAAAGGGAAGAAATATTAAGAAAGAACTATTTTCTTTCTAATTTCTTATTTAAAGAAATTTTTTCAATAGTAACTGTAAAATAAATTGCGGGAAAACAGTTTTTATGTAAGCATGGGGGGGGGGAAATCTCTTAGTTTGCTATTAGATTGTAATACAAATTAATCATATTATAAATTTAAATGATTAAAATTGTTTATTTCTAAAAGGATTTGAAGTAAGCTTAATTCATTTACTCTTATCTATTTACCATTGCTTTTGTGGTATCCCATATCACTCTTTATTTCTTAGCTCTAAATTCCTGCGGGTAACTTTCGCATTAAAAACGGATTTTCTTTCACATAAAACAGCAGCATATTCTGCTGCGTGTTGGTCATAATACTGTTTTGTGCGATTTTTTCGAACTACAAATGCAGCGTGTGAGTTAGTAAAATAATGAAAGAATATTCCTAGAACTTCAACCAGCACACGCTATAAATTTCGTTACTCGTCTTTACTGTGATTGGTCTTTAAAAGCTCTTTGAAGCCTTGTCCCCTTTCAGAAAAGTCAAATGGACTCACCCGCCCACCAATTGAGGACCACAAAAGGCTTTCTCCGATAAGTTGTGATCAATAAGTGCTGTCCATACCGTTTTTTTTTTTTTTTTTTTGAGTCAATATTGTTCACTCAAGTTGTAGACAGATCCAGTGATCATAAAATAGGCATCCAGGCTGGGAGACACTATCCATCCACCATACTCCTCAGACCTTGTGCCAACAGACTGCCACCTTTTCCATTCCCTAAACAACCATCTTTGTAGGAAATCCTTCAGCAACCGGCCAGACCTCTAAAATGCCCTCACAGACTTCCTTGCATCCAAGACTCCTTAGTTTTACCGCGATGGCATCGCAAAGCTAGCCACTCGTTGGCCTCTCACTGGATGTCAATGGTGATTACTTTCAGGATTAGCGGTGGTTATTACTTGTTTAATGAACGGTTTTTTTTTTTTTTTTTTT